AGGTAAGCTATAGTATTGTAAAAACTATAGTCAGAGGTATGGACAGGAAGACTTCATCTGTGCATCCACGTCTCTAGCTTAGACAACAAAAAACACAGTGGTGTGTTCCAATCACTGCTGAGTGTGAAGCCACAAGTGTCCTTGAAGCATTCCTGGCCAGGCAAGGTCCTATGGAGATATGTTTGAGTCTGGTATTAGCCTGTGTCCCATGAAGCATTTTCTTTAAATGCTTCATCGTTCTAAGATGATTGCAGGACTGGCTGCTGTCATTCAGAGAAATGGGGTTCCTGTGTTTATGGTATGGTGCAGTTCGCGAGTAGCCACACCAGTGGCGAAGTGGCCCGTGTTAAGAGTGTCCCACACTGTCAGGACCCTTCGCCTAGTGTTCAACCCCTCTGTCAGTGGAGTCTGGATCTGCAAATCTGTGACAAGACTGACCTTTCCAGAGTAAGAGAGGGACTGAGTGTTACTCCTGTGTTGGTGGGAGTGATGAAGTATTGATTTTCTCTTCTCTCTGAAACACTGTGTGACTCTGCTTTCTTTCTCAGCCTGGAGGTGTGATTGTATTAAGGCAAGGCAGAGACTTGTTTCCATGATCTTGATGCAATCTTGCAAACCAGCTGAGAGAACATTTTTTTTTATTCTGTGCTGTTTAAAGAAAAATTAGTCACAGTAGCAGACAGTACTGTATGTGCATGTTATGTACAACGAACACTGCCCCCTTAAAACAGCATGTCAGCCTTTTCACCTCATAAAAACACTGTTGTGATGAATAACGTGCTAATCATGGCATATCAGCATGTTAAAAGTTCTGGAAAATTATCAGCCAAGTGTCAACCTTAGATGGCAATGTGAAAATAAGTTTCCAAATCTGATGATAAGAGTGGTCTGTTAAGTGCATTGTGGTGACGGCTTATGGAATTCCTATTGCTGTGATAGGATGGCAAAAAAAAACATGAAATTGTCCAGTCAAGAACTTATTATATGAGAGGATCTTGTGGTAGAGACATAAACGTCCATGCCTACTGTACATTACGATCAGATGTTAAAATCACTCCCAGCTTCCCTACATTACTTTGCTGTATTGACACATACATGTTTCCTTTGCTTCTCTGTGCTGTTGGTCTTGTTTTTCCTTGAGCCGGAGGGAATTGTGAGGCCGCGCTCACTGGGGAGTTGCTCAGTCCGGTGAAGGGATCCGCAGAGGGGCCCTGTGGTGGCTCGAATGAAAGTGATACTGCAGCGTAGGCGAGTGGCTGGCCCACTGGAGGGACACCCTGGCTGTGTTTCAGCTACGTTTGGCATGCGTGCCATCTGCAGCTCATAAATTATGACAAAGTTGTTCTTGGAAAACCCAGACACCTCATGCTTTCATTCTGGTTTTATTGGTGATTTTTTTCACCTTTTATGGAGATGTTGTAAATGTTGTTTTTTTTATTTGTACGGGTTACTAGGGTTTATTCTCTGTCAGCCAATTTTAGACTTGTATGAAGGGATGTTAAACCCCAGCTGTATTATCGTATAGTTCTAGTGTTGTAGATTAGCAGGTGGAAAGTCAAAAGTATTGAGTGAGGTTATAAAGACATTATTAGTAGATCATATAACCAAATATGCATTGCCTGTGTGGTACTTTGGATTCTGTATGGGTTTTGCTATCGCACATGAAAGTGATCTTTTTATGATGTTACAAAACTAAATTTATGTATTTTTCTATGTGATTTGAATGAGATGAATGAATCTGCTTCTGCCTTTTATCTCAATAAGCAGTCCCAAGCTGTTTTCAATCAGTGTCCTAGGCAGCAGAACAACAGCCCCTCAGTGATATAGCTCTAAGATCCCTCTTGGGAAATATGATTTCAGCTCCTTGAGCCATTTTAAGGGATAATTTCAATCTTCAGATTTATTCCTGCATTGCATGTGCAGTTATATACAGAGAGAGAACTTTCAATTGTTTTTATGGATATTATTTTATGTTGTCAGACAATTCTTCCTACAGAATATAGTCTTCGCAGAGTGCCTAGAATCTAAATGTGAAGAAATAAGATGAGCAAGGAAAGCATTACACAGAATGCTTTGTCGAAGAGATTTTCAACCTAGAGCCACGCTAAATTACTTCCCTCCAGCTATTATTTCAGAAGAAACATACAGTATGCAGACGTCTCCGAGGTTAACACTGTATCAGTGGCAGGATTGCAAAACTGAACAGGAAGGTGGTCAGAGAATCACTCCTTAGACTTTGCGCAGTTCACATCACAAAAGATTAAATAGAACTGTAATGTTGTGAGCTGCGTCTTTAAAACAGTCTAAAATTTAATAAGCAGATGGAGAATCTTTCATTTCTCATTGGCATTGGCAAGTTGCACATTTGGTCTTTCAATAATACAGCTTGCGTGTATTATTTGTAACATTTTTGCATTTTAGGTTTTTTTTTCCTCTCATGTCTCCTTGGGGTTTAATGCTGGATGAGCTGCCCTTTCCTATTGTTGTTCTGTTATTCTCATGTCAGACAAATCGGAATTCTATGGGATATCTGGTAGTTATAATGCCATGAGCTGTCCAAGTTGTTACTGGCTTTTAGGTCCATTTGACTTGCTGTATACCTGTCCATCTCTTGTCTAGTTTGAACCGTATTTCAGAGATTATAAACAATAATAATACAACACTGTCTCAGATATATTTTTTAATACTTTTTTTTAATTAAAAAGGACAAGTATGTTTTGGTATCAAAGAAATGGTCTTTTCACATTAATATTTTATAACATTGGTTGTTTGTGCTATGTACTGAAACCCTCTCATTCCTGATGCAAGCAAAAAAAAAGCTATTTTTATTCCTATGATCCGTGTGTATGTTGTGGTGAGCAAAGAAAATATTTATGTATAGTAACAGTATCCAGTGCCAAGCCACATACACAAAACCCACTTTGTATTCATTTTTTTCATTAGCATTTGTCTCCGAGACAAAAAATCAATCCTACAATGAAAGAGGTGAAGTAGAGGCATACATTGCATGATACATGCAAAATCCTGAGCGAAAAACATTCTTCTAATTATATTGGTTGCAGTACTCATTAGTTGTAGTTGTAATGCATTTTAGCATACAAGTCTAGCTGGCGTGAGGATCTGGGTCAGTATGCAGCCTGTAAAAGAAAAAAGAAGGGGTTAATTCATGCCAGGCTGAAATGGAAAAGATTGATGACGTCATGCACAGTATTTCAGCTGTAGAGCCTTCTTAATTTTTAGCATCTTGATGCTGTATATGCAAAGCACATGTAGCTTCATAAAGAGCTGTATTGGTCACCTCTGAGTGTAGGTTTTCAAGTTTTTTATTACGATTCTTGGAAGGTGTCACCATTTAATGCAACAGAAGAGATTGAACACATATTTCAGGTGAGATACAGTGCTCCTTTCCCCTTTAATCTGCATAACTGAATCTGTATACAAATACAGTCCTTTGCTTTGTTTCCTAAATACGGGCTGTCCCTAAAGTGCATTGCACAATGGAAGCTATTTATAAACTTTGTATTTGTCTAGATAGTTCAAACAAAAGCTATTTTAGTTTATGTGCTATCATCAGACAGGAGTTTTGTCTTCCATAACTTTTTTATTTTTTAATTTCTAAGAACAACTCTAAAACATGCCTTATTAGGTGATCTTAAGATGTCTTGTTGAACATAGTTTTTAACATCTGTATTATTTTGTTTTTGGAATTGGGGAAAAAAAATAGCGGCTAGCTTGTTTGTCCAGCTGAGTTTACATTCACAGAAAAGAAAAATTCCATTGATTTTGATTAAATCCTGGACGGATTACATCCTTTATTGTTCCATTTTCTTTCCCAGCAATCCTAGGAAACACTGAAAAAACATAGAAATGTTAAGAATGCCTTTCATATTATTAAACCTCAGAGGATACAGCCAGCAACAAGGAAGGTTGGTTAAGTTGAACATGAAAAACACATTACTGGTCTGTTGTTTTGTTATCTTGGCAACGTTCCCAAAACACACTGGCCCTAGTTAAGAAATGCCTTGAGCAATCGGAGTGGGGCTTTTGACATGAAGTCATACGTTGGTGCTGTTGTTTTTACCCCAACTGGGCCTTTTGTGCATTTTGTAGAAAATGTTGCAAGGCTCTAGTTCTGATACTTTTTCCAGCAGCATCAGTTTCTTGTAAGTGTCTCTGACCCTCACTGTTCCTGTCTCTGACCCTTTGCGATGATCCGGTGCCTCCGAGCTGGGGATTTGCCCGTAACGAAGTGTGGAATTGCTCTTTCGATTTTATTAGGGATATATGGAGTGGGTTCTCTGAAGCGTTGTGAGGAAAATGAAATCGGGTTCAAGATAATAATCGGATTGATTGTTTACCAAGTGAATTCCAGGGCTCAACAAGGAAACAAAATTCTTGAAGCAGAGCTACATGGATATAGGCAGAATTTCAGGAGTAGTAGTAGTACAGCAGGCATCTGTGTAGTGCTGATAACACCTGGATGTAAAGGCCCAGGTGAGCAAGTCCAGAAATTTTCTTCTCATTCCTCATTTTAACCTTTTGACGAATGAATGTAATTGACAGACAAGGTTTGTTTCTTAATTAAAGCAGATTCTCTTCCCTGTGTCACGCTGAGAGTGGGCTGCATCAGACACCATCATGACAGATTTAGATATAAAAAGATGGAAAGGGAATTTTATGATTTTATCTCTATTGAATAACCAAATTATGCGTTTGTGGATTGAGGAATGAGCTATCACATTTTTGTTTTATAGATTAATTTTTTTTTTTTTACCAACGATGCATCCATAGGCCAGATTAGGAATAATCCAACAGGATGTACAGTAAAAGTAAAATTACATGCAAAACAGAGTAAGGAAAGAATGGAGATATCGGAGGAACTTCTTAATTTTCTATAAGAGTAAGTAAAACATTTTGTGGTGGGTTGGCACCAAATGCCAGGTTTTATATACAGCAGAGAAAACGCAGAAGTCTAATGTGCTGTTTTCCCCTTACGCCAGGAGGAGTATCGGTCTGAAGGCATCAGCTGGCACAACATTGACTACATTGATAACACCGGCTGCATCAATCTCATTAGCAAGAAGCCCACAGCACTGCTCCATCTACTGGATGAAGAGTGCAAGTGAGTACAACTCTTTTCTAACCAGGGTATGGGAACATGAACAGTGATGTAGTTGAGTATCCTTTAATATCATGCATTTTCTTTCCTAGACTCATTGTTCCAAATTTATCTGTGTTGCAGTTGATAACTGTTTCTGATCATGTTTAAAATGTGTCAGAACTTGCAAGTATTGCTCATGTTGTATTTTTTTACGCATGCAGAATTCGTTTGAATGGATGTTGCCACTGTAAAAGGAAAGACGCGACATTTGGTTGTGAACTGACACAAAGTCCATGTATCGGCTATGTTGATGGCAGAATTTGCTTAATTTTGCTGTAGTTGTTTATTTACTTCCTTATTATACAGCAAGAACTGCCATATTAACCTTTTGTCTTTTTGTGTGATGCCCTCAATATAAAACACACCTGGTTATTATTCCACATAATGCCATAAAAAGACCAGACCACAATCACTTGTTTATTTTTCTTCACTTCGGAATTAAAATTGAACCAGCTTTGTTATAGTACACAATTGAATAGTATCTGTTTATGTATATTTATATTATTCTGGTGGTTTTTTCAAACAAATTTTATAAACAATATCTTGATCATGTCAACATTAATGAAAAGCTTTGTATAATAAAAGGTAAGGGCAGGCCTGTCATAGCATTATCAACAGATTATTATGAAGATTCCTTCTATGAAAGCTTTTCACATTTTCCTTATCTCATTTGGCTCTTGCCAAGCGGATGCCCAGACACCAGAAGAGCAAGAAGTTTTTTTCTTTCTGTAATGAATGACTTCAACGGGTTCCTGGTTAACAGTACACTGCAGTAATCTCTGCATACTAGTAATGCCTAGAGTTTCAAAGACACACTTTTACTCGTTTTTATTTTCAAGTGTCTACAAATCTCATATGCAGCCTTGCTTCTAAGAGACATTTCCTTTGAGTAGGCATTTAAGTGAAGTGTCTGTTTTTTTAGAATAAGCTCAGTTCTGATACTGTATACGTTTGACATTTTTCTTACAAAGATGTTTCATGTTTGGAGTGAAAATGAAATTCCAAAGAATTTAAACTGACTGAAATCTGAATCCTGATCACTGTGGCGATTAACAACTTTCTCACCTTCTTGCATGCCACTCGTCTTCTTCCTGTAGGGTTTTATGTTGTTTAGGTTGTAATTTTGGTAATATTTCTTTTGCTTTGGATCCAGGGCTGAAGATAATGTAAATCTAGTTTACATTTCTTTTAACCAGCCTTGAAGCTGGTTTTATGATGTTTGTTAACCTTTAAAGAAATACTGTACACACTTTGAGACTCCAATTTTGGGAGCTCCCCAGGTTTGAGTTCTGAAATATTTGTCATTGCAAAAGAAAAACACACTTTGAAAGAAGGGATTGTGATTACAAATAGCAGTTATCTGTTGGCATGGTTTGAACATTTTAAGACAATTTAACATCACATTCCCAGCCATTAAAAAAAAAAGAGGTTTACAGCTGTATGATGAACATAAGAATCGTTGCAAGCAAGATGTTATTTTATCCATCATGCTCATCCATTTATAGTAATGATAGAAATAATTGTTTGTTTCAAGGAACTCATCACTGTTTTTGAAAGTTTCTGCTCTAGAGTGATTAGATTTAAAAGTTTCTCTGTAGTGTTTTGCATTCAAGGCATTCCTACAGATATCGCAGTACTACACAATCTTTCTGATTAGTTCTGTTCTGTTCTCTTATGCATATAAGTAACTGTATTTTGTGATCAAGGCCTAAGAGTTCTGTGAATTCAGAGTCTGTTGTTCAGACTTTAATTAGTAGTTTACATTCATTAGTGACTCTGCTCTGTAAGAAAAAAATAAACATCTTGACTTAGAAAATGATTTAGTTAAAAACATAAATACTGTAAGGAATAATATTCTCTGTTTCAAGATTTTTCTAGTACCTTGAAATATGTATATGACAAACTTGTTGTCAGTACTTGATTAAATAGTTATTTAGGTAGATATGGTAGGAATGTACATTCTCAGGACCAGGCATTGCACAAGAGCACTGTAGCAGCTTAACACAATGACAGAGGAAGAATCTCTGGTCATGCACAAGGCTAATAGCCAAGAATCAAAAAGCCTTTGCTTAAGTATAAAGCACACTGCCATCTGTTTCATATACAGAAAAGAAGACCTGTCAAATTTTAAGTTTCCCAGATAGCACAGAACTAATTACTTAGCTAAATAAATATTTTCGTTAGTTGCTTAATTTAAGCACATTGTCAACACTGAGTACTTCTGGAGTGTTGGAGCTCTAAAAGTTTCAAGCAATTCTTCCATCTTTTTCTTTGTGTTAAGTTCTGAATTCAAGAATGTGGTATTAAGTCTGATTAATTGGAACACTTTCAAAGATTCCATTCTTCTTAGCTAGCACACAATCGCAGAGCTATGAAGGCACAGGCCATGTGTGAGTAGTGTGTTGGACTGTTATCTGTCTTGCTCATGCAGAACAGTTTTGATCCAGCAGGAAAGGGCCATGTTTAAACAGCACTTTTAAACATGCCCTTCAGTTTTATAGGCGATGGTAAAGCAAATCAGAAGCTCCAGACACACACACACGCACCCACGCACACACGCACTATACAGGCCCACTGCAGTGTTCTGCTTTGTGTAGAGAGAGGAAAAGCAGCCAGAAAGGGGCAGATATCAGTAGTTTGTTTTCTCCTTCAAAGCTCATGGGAGTCTTTATCCGTTCATTGCAGTTTTCCGCAGGCCACAAACCAGACCCTTCTGGACAAGTTCAAGCGGCAGCACGAGGGGAGCAGCTACATCGAGTTCCCTGCAGTGATGGAGCCTGCTTTCATCATCAGGCACTATGCTGGCAAGGTCAAGTATGGAGTGAAGGTCAGTACTTCCATGTGGCGGCGTGTCTCACATGGGCGAAGGCACTGGCTGTCTCTGACCAGCACGCCGTGTGGGTAACGTCTCTCTTCAGATGACCGACCCCAGCACAGCTCCTCACAATACCGAGGTGCAATACTGTAGAGTACTGTACACTGGGCAATGACAGGGGAGTGAAGAAATGGGTCATTTGGTCCTAAGAAAAGTGTCAGTTTCTCTGTAGCCATCACAAAGGGAATCTCATGTAACAGAAGCAGTGGTTTCCAAAGCTTAATTGTACTGACCTGTATTGGGATTTGGACTGTATTCTTGGGATCATTCTCAGCTGTGTTTTTATAAAAATACTTTGGCACAGTGCAACATTTTATATCCAGAATTGTTGGGATTTTTAAAGAAACATATTAGACAAAGTTTTTTTTTCTCCATTTGCACTCATCAGGTGGCAATCAAATAAACTGCATTTGTGATTTTTCTACTTCCTGATTTTTGAGGTTCACTGTCTATTACTGTACGCCCCTCTTACAAGGAAAGACAACTGAAACCGTTTGACTGTTTATTTCAAGCTGATGCTCTGATTCGTGAAACATACTTGCAAACAAAACGTACTTCCCTCAGCGTGGCTCCAAAGAAGATATTTCTCAATGACATTAGTCATGATGTGCTTCTGAAGTCTCAGCTGGCACTGACCCCTGTAATGGACACATGTTAATGTCACAAGTCCATATTAAAAATTAATTGCATTGGTACCGAACAAATATTACACAGCTGCTTTTTGGTATCACTCTCCAGGTAAGATAACTAGGATGTCTCTTACTGTCTGCCTTGGTCTTTCTGCAGGATTTCAGGGAAAAGAACACTGATCACATGCGACCGGATATAGTTGCTCTGCTGAAAAGCAGCAAGAGCTCTTTCATCTGCGGCCTGATCGGGATCGACCCTGTCGCCACTTTCCGCTGGGCTGTGCTCAGAGCCTACTTCAGGGCTCTGGTGGCCTTCCGGGAAGCAGGCAAGCGATATGTGGAGAAGAAATCTGGTAAGTGATCATCCTGCCAACATAACACTTCAGGTTTGTGCAAGTTCGAGTATACCACGTGCAGCAATGAGATTATAAGCGCTAGTATGCTGTATCATCTCAAGCCAAAAATATGTCTTCACCTAGTGGGAATGACTTTCTGTACTGTATTGAAATTATTTTCAGCATTACAGTAACTTGTCTGGGTAATTCACATATGTTTGAACAGTCATTAAATCCCCTTTAGAATAATAATAAGTTATTTATTCACTTTGGGATTGTTTTGTCGTTTGGGCAGACACAGAACTAAGTAGCTCAGGAAGAATTTTGAATCTTGATCTTGTAACCATGAGATCTGAGAAATCAAGAATTGCTCTTCCTTCTCTGATACAAAGCCATTTAATGTGATCCCCATCCATTCTCCACACCATGGAAGTGGAGCAAAGCATATCTCAAGGTTTACAGCAGCATGACAAAATGGATGTTTAAACAGATATTGCCACTTTAGAGCTTTTCACAGACTCCTCCCCATTGCATAGCTTACTGTCTGAAAAGTTTCTATAAAAACAACACGTTCTTCTGCCTTTTGTGGTGCCGCTGTTTGTCGCTCATGTATGCACATCCTGTATGCTCACTATTGATCAGAATCAAAAGAAAACCATACAATCTGGCTGACGCAGGAGAATATCAATTTGTTGCTATAATGCGTTCAGTTTTAAAGCGCTGACTGCACTGGGTTTGTCCCAGCATAGAGATTAAAATCCTATATACTGTATGTACTCTGGCGGCAGGGAAGCAGTGAAGAAGTGGCATCCTCATGCTCATTGGACAGGAAGGAGCCCTTAACTGAGGCATCATCATGCTGTGGTGGCTGGCGCTGTGACTGCTGTGCTTTGTAGAGACTCCCTTTGCATAGTGAGCAAGTCCTGCAATGAACAGGCCTGGCTGCTGAGCACTACACTCCCACAGAACATGTCTTCTTCCTTGCTGGTTTGGGGCAGAGACTTTGAATGCAAGGAAAATGGTGTTTCATGTATTCATTTAAACATTAAGTTGACTCATCCTCATACTGTACACTGCATAAATAGTTCTGTAAGTAATGTTGCCTGCAGTGTCCTTTTTTAAAAATAACTTCTAATAATTTATTTGCTGTAGCTGACAGTGTCATCACTTGAGGCTTTCCTGTTTGGGGAAGATGTATCTTGAATTGTTACAGTTTCTTGAATTGCATTTTGAATTGTATTCAAAGCCTCACTGCAACATTTTCTGGATTTCTGTACATCAAACATTAGCACATGCCTGTTGCTTTGTATTTCAAGGACAGTAAACTATTGCAATCCTTGAAGTGCAGTGATGACAAGCTTTGAGAATTTTGTCAGACATTTTTTAACTACTACAGGATACAAAGAGAAGTATTATTGCTCAGACTTTGTTCTTGCCTTATGCTAGTAAAGTTTTAGAGCAATTGCACAGAAAGCTGTGCTGGTAAAGTTCAGTGTATGCCTGTCTATTAATGAGGTGCCCTCAGGTTATCATCTGAGAGAAGGTGAACATCTCTGAATGGGGTTAAAATCCTAATTCACTCAATTGTTCTGGCATCCTAGCTCAGTTTTGAATGGAATCTACTTCTCATAAACAGATAAACAAATAAAAATGTAAAACTGCATTCTTTCATACTTAAATCAGTTAACATTGATGACCTTGATGCAGATAGTTATTTTCTCATGACCAGTTTTGTACATGAGAGATACGAGTGGTCTATCTGGGTAGGTTGTTGCTGCTAGAGACTATATTTCGTTTCTGTGGGTGCTTATGCAGTGAACCAGCAGCCAGGTACTGTCTCAGCTAAGCTTATTGCCTGCAGTAATCGTAGTATGTAGCTCCTGTAGCTTTGGCTCTGAGTAGATGTCCAACTTCTTTTTCCAGCACTTTCAACTTTTCAGCACAAGGCTCAAATTCAGATTACATTCACTTTACAAAGAAGGAAGGCAAAACCTGTATGTATGTATGTATACACATGCCCATTGCAGTAATGCTTCAGATGACAAAAGGTTTTTGTTTTCCCATCAAATACAGGGCTTTTTTCTGTAGGGAAATGAAAGTCTGCTGTTGATCTTTTGTAGTGGAAGGAAAATGCAAAAGCCCTTTAATCATGTAATAGGAAAATCTTTGGGCTGCTCTGACAAAACTATGAGATACATGGGGGTCGCAGATGTGGGGAAGCTTGCAGCTGTCACCATCCCACGTGCTTCAGCTTAAGTGATTGCATTTGGAGCTCAGTTGATTGCACTAATTGATCTCTGATAATATTTTAAACTCTGCTGAGGTTTAAAAGAAAAGTCATGCCACTCAATTGGTCTGGGTAGAAGTCATCCCACCTTTGCAATAATTGGTATTGCATATCACTCAACACACATTTTTGCCCTTTGTTAAGTGAAACATGCCAACCACTTGAAAGTATTACTGAATATATTCTTCTCCCAAAATATCCTTAGATTTTGTTTACTGTAATGGTGAAGTACAGTAACAACTGTAAAAAAAACTATAAAATTCAACAAGAAGTAAACATGATAAATACGTAAAATATGCTGTGTTAAATTAAGTAGTTCAGGTTTGCATCCGTTTCATTGAAACAGTATTTTCACTTTGGGTCCAACTGCAGTGCAAATGTGACTGTTTTCTTGAAGGCTAGCAGTTATATCTCTTGTAGCTCACTCTCTCATTCCTCTCTATATAATCTCTCTTCTCTCTCTTTCTTTTTTATTTTATTTTTTTTATTTTGCTTCCCAAGGGCATGATGATGCTGTGCCGTGTGCAGTTTTGAAAAGTGTGGATAGTTTTAGCTTTCTGCATCACCCAGTGCATCAGAGAAGCTTAGAGATCCTGCAGAGGTGCAAAGAGGAGAAGTACAGTAAGACTGCAATCCTCAAATCTTCTCTCCTCGCTACATGCACCCGAATGGACAAGGGGACCAACTACATCTGCTCTCATGCTCTTTGCTTCCCTTAGTGGCTAGCCCAGGATCCCTTCAAAGCTTGCATCAAGTCAGCTGGAGTACAATTTCTCCTTCAAGAAAACATGTTTCTTTTTAATATAAAATAAGTAAAATAGCACACTTGTTAAGGGCCAGGTACTCCAGTTGTGATTTAATTACAAGCCCATAAATTGGAATTTATGTTTTTTAGGTAGTACTTTTCAATTTGAATGTGACCAACAAATGCACAACAAGTACCCTACAAAATATGTATGACCAAAGAAGTTAAAACTGCAGATTTTCTGCATTTGTAGGCTCTTTAGCCTGTGTCTTTTCCCTGGCAGAAACAAATTCTCCCCTCTGAAAATCACAACACTTGTGAATATATCTTTTCGTACAGAAAAAAGTGTTTTTAATCCCCTGTAAACTTAAAGCAGGTTTCATCAATACCAAAGATACAAGACTTGTGTGGCTTTGATTTGACGAATGTAAATGTATTCCCAGGAAATCAATGTGGCTTCTTTCAAGTTTCACATTGCTGGCGATTTTGCTCAAGGTCATAGTGATTTGAATGTTGTTGGTCCCCATGTTCGTGCCCCTCTCTCTGTTGAAGAATAACCAGTTCTGCATGAGAAACTTTGCCAGTTTTTACTAATACAGCCCACTCTGGGGTCAACCCATGGTGTGTTGAAGCATGGACTATACAGTGGTCACTGGGATCAGTTACACTCCTGAACCCTGCAGTACTGAACTCCAAGCACACACAAACCCAACAGTAGAATCAGCAGTGCACTGAGACCTGGTGTGTGTGGGACTCCCTCCACTGTTTGTTTGGGTGGAGAAGGAGTGCTCTTCTGGCTCAGGTCCTCACTCCCTCAGGTCTTGCTACTCTGGACTTGCAGGGCAGGAGCTAACCGAACCAGAGCTGCAAAATGGTAATGTATGAACAGGGGCGTTTCCCCAAGTACAGTGGACGATTCTCTTTGACCAATGCTTTTCAGAGAATTTCTGTGTCACTGGAGCTTCTACTGTTCGTCCCTATGACATCCTGAAGAATAGTTTATATATTAAAGCTCAGTTGCCACTCTAGAACAAGAACAACCCATAGCAACACCTAATCGGATAAAAATGAAGTACCAAATGTAGGTAAAACAGGTATTTTTATGTGTAGTAATTTTCATATTTAATTTTTTTGTATGGATTTTAGCATGGAACAATTCTAGAATTTTAAAATTTACTAGTAATAATTGTAACCTGTTTCATGAATCGTTTCTTCTCATTTTTGCATCAATAAATCCGTGATGCATGCTGCATGAGATTCTGTATATGGATTTTATTTGTGCTGGAACATTAGAAACTCCGAACACTTTTCAAACTGCCGTCACTTCGAAGATCGAATTAACTAGAGTTATAAGTGATTATGTCATTTTTGATCTGCTTAAAAACAGTTAGCTCACATCTTTGACAACACAGTATCTCCCTTTAGCTCAATGAAGAAGGGACAAACAGGGATCACCCCAATGTTTGAGAAAACATATGCCTTGTGTTTTGAAAGTGTACCTTTGCAGCACCTATTACATCACATTGAATTTTACATTGCTTATGTTATGCTACTGTTATCTGCACCCTAATGCTTCTTGTTCTGATTTGTTTGTAAGTCACTTTGGGTAAAAGCATCTGCCAGATGAATAAATGTAATGTATACCAGTGTTGTCCTCACCAGATTGGAATGGCAGAGAGCACAGGCCTACGATTGTTTCTCAATGTAGACACGTTTGGCTCATATGTGAACATTTTACTGATCAAGAAGAGAATGTTTCTGTGTGGCTCTTACTGATGTGTTAATCAGACTTGACAGAATAAATTAGAATAAAAAATTGGTTCCAGAACACAAAAATCAGAACAACTGTAACGCGTTTTCTTAAAAAAATTGATAGTCCTGATTCAGTTCCAGTGATGTCATGCCCAAAAAAAATCACATGACGGCTGCATGTAGATTGACATCAGTTATGGAAGCAGCAGTTTTTCTGCTAAGGCTTACATAAATTTAAATGCCACCACAGCTACATCTGATATTTGATTGATTTGATAGCTGGCTGAAAAAATATGATACACATTTTCCACAAGTTAATGGGGGTTACGGAGTGACACAAAGCGATCTGCTAGTAATAAAACATTCAAGTTATGGCTCTTAAATTTAAGAAATGGGGTTTGTTTTGTTTGAATGAAAAACACTTTTCAAGACAGATCTCTTTAAAAAAAAAAATGCAAGCTGTGCTGTTTCATCACTGGCTCTTCATAAACCTATCACCCTGTGTGGGGATGAAATAAAGCCCAGGCCTCAGATTTTGGCTTCATTGTTCACTTTCCTTGCTGCCTTTACTGCACACAATGCAGATCTGGTTCACACATGTGGCACTACCCTCACCTTCATGTGACTACAGAGAAGTGATGCTTATTTTGGTTGAAAGGATTACTATCTCCCTTAAATTGTACTGTAGCTGGCATCATTTTTTTATTTTCACTGAGCATTCAGCTAATATGAGACACATTAGTGCAGCCCCTGGAACAAACGGACTCCCTCCTAGTTTGTGAAGACTGGCCAGGAGGTTGAAAACTCATTCCCTTGAGCGGGACGAGCGAGTTGTTTTCTGCTCTGGAGCTGATCTGGATTCCCGCCACATATTCCTCTTGAGTGCTGCAATCGGTATTATGAGAACTAAAGAGTCATATGCATTAATCCACTGGCAGATAATCCTTCTTCATAATTCTCACCTTTTCCCTTTTCCCCCCTCTCAATTCCAGTATTCATTTTTTTTTCAGACACAAATGTCCCATTTGCGAAATTTCAGACCTCCAGTTGTTCTTGTTAACCAAACCAAATATATAGGAGATGTGTAATATAAAAATGTATTTTAAACAAGACAGTCTTATGCGCATGTGAACATACAGTACCTGTATTTAGCTCTTAGTCTTGCCTTTACCATGACAGGGCCCTGTAACCTATCTGCAGTCTTCTGACATGCTGATTATAGATCTGGCGATGCATTGTACATGTTGTCACTCTGAGATCCTGCTCTGTCTCTTGTGTGTTAGGTATCACACGGAAGAGCCCTCGAACTCCACTGTCAGACTTGCAGGGCACCAACACACTCAATGAGAAAACTCAGCGGTAAGACCCTCTGCTACACTTCCAATCTCAACATGGCTGCCATCTTGAACTGCTCAGTACTCTATGCATCTCATTGAAATCTTCGGACTGAGTTGAACTGAAACTTTAAGTTGTTGCTTTTTAAATAACAGAGAGATGATCATGGTGTTTCCTGTTCACTTGAGTTTTTTTTTCCCCACAGTAAAACATGTCTCAGTAGAAACATTGCAGGTTTAGGTTTCGTAGGAATAGACCATGTTTTATACAGCCCGAGGGCGGTTCTGTTTTGTTTTCACTGAAATGGACGTGTGTTAGGGAGAGTGCTTCCAAACTCAATTAGCCCATTTGCATTTGAGCGCACTAACCTAAAGAACACAGATGTACAAAGGATAATTATAATGCATTCCTTCATAGTGTCTAAACTGCTACAGTAGTCATTCTCCTTGGTCTGTAGAAATTTGGTTAAAAGGGGAAATGGGTTTTTGCAGTGGGATTTGTGGAGTGGAAGGCTATGAAGCGTGACCATTCACAATGAGTAATTTCTGTGTGCGACCCTCAGGGCACCCACAGGTTATGGGGGCTCATACTTGGTTAATTAGTACAGGGTTGGGATTACTGAAAACCTGGGGCTGAGCGGGAGTCACTGACCACTGTGACAAGAGTGCTTTTGTTCAGCATGGTCTCGGCGATAAGGGCTGGCTAATGTGATTTAAAACCACGCACTTTCTTCGTTACTAAGTGACCACTAAGCCCTATGCAGCTGCTTCCTGTGTGATGTCAGGGTGTAGTTATGCATTCATAGGCAATCCTGGGGCTAATAAATATTCAGACACTGCAGGGTCTGCTTATACATACCATAGATACTGTATGTTCTGAGCAGACTTTTAAATTAGAGCAGGCTTAGTTGGATTAAATGGCTTACATTTCTGTATAAACAGGATTACAAGAAACTCTATGTTACACATAATGGCCTGGGAACTGTTATGGGTTTGGAATATGGCAGTGCCACACTCATTTACACACTTCGCAATGGCCTTTTCCTTGAAAGACATGTCTTAATATGTTATGCCCTGGTTATCTGTGCTCTCTCTCTTGCACAATTCCTGTACAAGTGCAGATTGGACAGCAGTAACAAATGTGGTTGCTGCAGTTTTCCTTACACACTGTGTTTTTGTGACAAACCATTGTGCTGTTTATCCCTGTCAATTAAGGCAAACATGATCTATAGTCAGTTGGAAGAGAAAACAGCACACACTTAACTCGTATGGTTTTCTACCATTAACCTTCCATCTTGCTCATTTGTCTCTTTTTTAAATAACCTTTTTAAGTATTTTTAGAAAAAGGCTTTCTTTATTTCACACCTAAGGTTTTTGGATGTTGTTTTATTATGTTGCTTTATTGTGACTTATTTTGAAGTAGGTCTTTTGGGGAAAAATTTACTATTGCTGATGTTGATTGGTGGGCTGTAGAGAAAACTGTTTTTGCAAACATTTTTTCAGGGTACTTGGGTTTTTTAACTCTTTAAACATTAATTGTCTCTTAACATCTTAATGTAGTGGAAGTCTAGCCCAAGTTTACAAAGAAAGTCACGTTATGGGAAAGCAATAGAAATTAGTTATTTTTTTCAGAGCAAGCAAGAAACAGTAATTTCAGAAAGAAAATCGCATCAGAAAAATAGTTTAGACTCTAAAGGAATTTGGTCCTCTGCTGAACAGGTTTTGTAAAATCGTTTCCTGGTGGCTATAATTCTGTGCAAGAGTGAGCTGTAAATGGCAGTGTATATTTTGCATGGGTAGAGTGCTTTATATTTATAGTCCCTATCACAAGAAAAGCTTTAGAGAAAGGTTTCTTTATTTCCTGACGGGCCTTTTGCCTGTGAAACTTTTGGGAAGTGATGTTAATTTTAGTCCTCACACTTGGCATCCGAAACCACACCAGTGTTTTAAATCATATGAACTTTCTGTACGCTTTCTCATTGTAAATTTCTGTGTGGTGGGGGATATGGGCCTAGATCTCTGAGATTTATTTGTTTAATGCAAACCAGTTGCCTTTCTTTTCACAAAGCTTTCCCTCTAGGGCCTATTTTACACCATTTCCTAGAAAGAAAACAAAACTTGCAAAGACCCCAAGAGAGAGGTGAACGTTAAAATAAGCATTTTTTTTTTAGCTGAATCCAAAATACCCTTGGCTGTGAATGTGAAACTGCAGACATAAAAGGAAATATTTATAAAACATCCTGCATACAGTTTCACCACAAAGTTAAATGTTGCAAAAACTGTGGGGACTGATTCTGTTTGTTAATTGAATAGCTCTGAAGCCTTTTTTTATGCATCTTTCCAAGCGCTTGTTGATTAGTCAGTTCAGGGTTGTTTTTCTCTATAGAAACGCAAGCCAGAAGCCTTTATTTCTTCATAAAGCACATCGTAGAGCACAGAATAGGAACAGTAGAATTTTGCAGTAATAGACCCCGAATCTGAAACTTCATAGGAAGGTGAGATTAAAGTACCAAAATGCTCTGTGTTGCCATTACAATGCAGAAGCTTGTAGAGTAGACAGGAATAGCAGCCATTAAGACACTGTGAGTACAAGAACTCTGTGATTGGTCTGCTGTCAATGGAAACAGACATTTGTGCTGTTAAGCCTCTCAGGTATATACTTTGCCTAGATTAAGTTAAACAAGTTTTGTAAATAAAATCCTTGGCCGGTAATGAATCTGATAATTACTAAATAATGTCTGTTTTATTTTAAAAATGTCCGGTATGAAGAAAGTAAAGAGGTATTTATCATGGAGTTAAAAAATAAACCATCACAGTCTGCAGTTTTTTTAATGGTGTCTTTCCTTTACACAAGTCATTTAAATGGATCTTTTCTTACAATCCCAAGTGGTTTTACGTTTAATGGTTTTCATTGCTTTATAGTAAACTGATCAGACCTGTTTCTCTACTAAATAAAATATCTAGTTGAATGACCGGGCGATCAGACCTAGTGCTCTCGTACTTTGGGCTCACAGTAATGACGGCTTGGTAAGAAAGAGTCTTCCCTCCCTGTGTGAAATGAAAGTGATCAAATTTGCATGCATTTACTTCAGCCTGCAGTCCAACCTGCAGACGGGGCGAAAGGCTTCCTGAAGCAGTGTTAAGGCAGGGGGCGTTTGTCTGCTCACAGCGAGTGACAGACGGGGCCCCCGCCTCTCCCTCCTCTCCGCAGGGACAGCTTCAGTGTGGGCTGGATTGGGCGGACCGGCAGGCAGAGCCGGTTGTCCAGCTCAGGCTCTTTGCTGGAGGAAGACGGCATCTTTGTCAACCCCACCAGCAGCAAGCTACTGGAGAGGGCGCATGGTATTCTGATGTAGGTATCAGCTTCTCGCCAGGCGACTCTGCACACTTCCACAGCACTGTCCCTGTCCATCCTTTGTCTCTGTCCTCTATTTAAAACACTTCTGGGAGAAAAAGCTAACCTTAAAAATGCATAGAAGGATAAATTGTTCCAACAGCCAGATCTCATTTTCGCAAACCTTTAACAGCCGATGTATTAGTGACAGTTGTTACTTCTTTCTTCCTTTCAGTATGGAATTAAGCTTTACTTGTTTCTTATGTAATCCAAGCAAGTACTCAGTATAAACTTCAATATATCTGATACAATACCTAAATAATCCTTTATTTAAAGATCACCACAAGGGTAACTGTTTTCAGTAAAATAGAAGCTACTGAGATGTCTTACTAGCTAATAAACCTCATAAAGCAGAAAGATGTTAATCCTAAATAAGACATTTTATTTACTTTGTCCTTGCAGGAGGAACAAAAATTATAAGTTAAAACCCAGCCTTCCAAAGGTAAGAAAATTCTCTTTTCTTGTCTTTATTATAACTCTGCATATAAGATTCCTTAAAAGAAGACTTGTTTAGTAGTATTAGTAGTTTGTTTTACTTTACCGAAAATCCATACACAGATTGAGGTGAGAAAAGCCTTTGTCTATATGACAGAATCTTTAGTTCATGGGGTGGCGGGTACATTTGGCATGAACTCTGTGCGTGTACTGTGTACTGGTTACCATACAATGAATTGGTTTTTCGTATGGCAGCACCTGTTGGATGTGAAGTCTCTGAAGTACCTCACTAGCCTGACACTCCACGATCGCATCACCAAATCCCTCCTGCACCTGCACAAGAAGAAGAAACCTCCCAGTATCAGCGCACAGTTCCAGGTGAAGACAGGAGCTTGTTTTCCCAACGCTGTTTTCACTGACACCTTTTAAGCTTATAATTATATAAGCTATTTAGTTATCTACCCGACGGCATATTCAAGGCAATGAGACATCTATTCTCGGAATGTTTTAGGTTTTCAATCAATTTTAAATCCGTGACTACTAAACCGGGGTCTTTACCCACCTCCACAGGTACAGTACTCTGCAGTTTGAGTGTATTGGCAGCAGTGGTGAGACTTCTTTCAGGTTGCTGCTGTGCAAGCTTGAGGAAGATACTTCACCCTAATTGTTCCAGTAAACATCCTGTTGTATACCTCGGTAAAATTGTAATTCACTCTGGTTTCAGCCAAATATATAAGTAATAGTAATAATATTTATTTTGTTGTTGAACAGTGTTAGAGATACACCAGAGAACAGAACAAGACCCAGCAATGTTGCCCCTGAAATAATAAATAAGGTTTACAGTTTTTTTGATGGATTAACTAAACATTGAATTACTGACATACCTACTTATTTTTGAGTGTTTTAAACAGTGCAGCACTTAAAGTTTAGGGGTACAGACCAATATCATTCTGCTTACACAGTCTACAGGTACAGCCCCTGCAGCAGTTCTTATCATGCTAGTATTTACATTTGTACAAAACCTCTGCACAGCAAGAGATAATATCCGGATTTTTGTCCCCTACACTTCTTTTATTTTCTGCAAATCCACAAACCACCTCTCAGTAAGCATCAATGTACCCAGTCTCTGAAATAAAATGGCCTAATCCTCTCACAGGGTCGCTTATAAAGACCTCTGTGACTAAGGCGTGTTTCAATTCATTGCTGCCAAAATTATATCAGTACCAGCAAAATTGGCCGCCATATTTTTTATTGGAGGTCTGGGCAGTTAATATTTTTAAATCCCCCCACAGATTTGACTTTATGTGGTCATGTCTGCCCTTTTAATTAAAAAAAAGCAATGCAGGGGAAACACACTTCCAGATAAAACTGTCCTTTTAAACCTTTATTACTTTCCTTCTTACGGGATTCAGTTTGCCTTCACGGAAGAATATGAAATGAAGAAATGACCTGTTAGGGATTACCCACTTCCCATTTACAATAAAGGACAACGAAGACTGTTATTTAAACATGTTCCAGCCTTCTTTGCTGTCTGCTGATGTTCTGGGTGTTTCTGGTTGACTTTTAAGCCTTCTGATAGGACTAAAACTACATTCCTCTAATTTTACAGTTCAAGTTTCCTTAGACCTATATTAGTGTATTTCTGACTCGGTACTCTGTTTCTAAAAGGGACACAGAAAAGGGGCTGCAAACACTGTAGATTTCAAGTGCCTTAAAAATCACTAACAAACTGTCCTAAAGCCTAGAGCAAGAGCTGTGTAGAAAGCCCTCGATGACTTCATGCCATTAAGTCACCCCACATCCTGTTGTGAGTTTTTTTTCTTTAATCTGCCGAGTGGGGAAAGTGAATTTGTGGCCACCAAAATAGCAGCACATCCTCCTCAAGCAAAAGCGGCTCTCAGACAAGGAAAGAAATGAAGTCCAGGTGGCATATTAATGATGTGTACTTCATAACTCTCTCCGGTTCCTTTCGGGGAAGCTGGACACACGCTGAAGCTATTGTTCATTTCACTCTGTGCTCCTGGTCGGACTTCTCTTGAAAACTGAGTTTATTGGCACCATAGGAACCCATTGGCACCATTGGACTGTTATCTGAGGGAAAATAATAAGTGGTTAATAAAAAATACTAAACTGAAGCTGCTTTAAAAAAAATAACAGTCTATATAAAGTGAAACTGGTTGTTTTTTATAGAGGTATCTGCATGCTTGCTTAGTGATTTTTTCCGATTTTTTTCTGTTTTACTGATTCTCCCTGCTTTTCCTAGGCATCACTGAATAAATTGATGGAGACACTAGGTCAGGCGGAACCCTACTTTGTGAAATGCATCCGATCCAATGCAGAAAAGGTAAAGTGGTGTTGGTAGAGCCCAGTGTGCTCAGATCTTAAAATAAGGTGTGGCTGATATCGGACTTTGTCCCATTCAATATCTTTTAGCCAGTTCTGGAAGCAGCTAGTTGTCTTATACTGAGTAATGTGTTTTTAAATTATGGGGTTTGTTTTTTTTTCTTATCTTTACCTGCCCTTTAACAGATATTAAGTAGATGTAGTTACTGATCTAATCCTTTAAAGAAGCTGTTAGCGCTAGTCAGTTTAGGTTGTTTTTGCTCTGGGTGAAACTGTCAGTTTTGACCTCTGCTTTCCCTGCAGCTTCCCTTGAGATTCAGTGACAGCTTGGTGCTCCGACAGCTGCGCTACACAGGCATGCTGGAGACGGTCAGGATACGACAATCGGGATACAGCATCAAATACACTTTCCAGGTGAGATGTCACAAGTACAACTGCCACTGATCCCTGCACTCCTGTTTTTGATTTTTAGTTAAGTTTTAGCAGAGGTCCCATTCTTCCATCAAAAACCATTAAAAAACCAAACCTGATTAGGCAACGCATGCACTTCTTAAAAAAATTAAAAGGGACAGCTATTTCAGTTACTAAACGTACAAAATCTTATGCCAAAATCGTGTTTCCCCTGTCTTAGGGTGTGGAGAGGTTGATACAATTTCCTGTGTTCCTCAACTTCCCTGGACAGGAATCTCCTTCCAAAACTAAGAGCCTGAATCATTGTTTCCTACTATACATGTCTAGTGTTCAGGGCACATTTAACAGCCTGTTGCATGTTTACGTCCTGTTGGATTTTACTATTCTCACATTTGGCTCTTGTATCTTTTTCAATCTGAAGAGTTTTGACCAAAGGTCAAAAATTATTATAAATCCTAGAACATAAAAGAACATGACCTCCCCAACTGTATTTATAAGACCTTTATTAAATCAATGATGGGAATGTGTGGTGACTAATACCAAAGCTCTCATTTTTCTGAGGCCTCCACTTTAATTTGTGTTTTCTGATTATTCCGGTTCAAAGCAGAAGCTTTTGAACACTGGGCTCACCTTCCAGGCGACATGATGTCACTGGCGACTGGCCCTCAGAACAGAGGTGCATTATTGTTCATAATGGAAGGCCCGATAGTAATTATATAAACACAGCATCTACTTCCCAACCTGCCCCCCACAGTTGATTGCATCTCGGCGTGGAACAGAATGGAGCCTGGGGATTGTGTTGAGCTCATTGTCTCAGTCGCCCCCCCCCTCTCTTCCTGAGACACCATGTGTGAGCGAGCTGCGTGTTTACACAGTGATGTCAGGCTGCTGTACCATTTGGGCTGTGTGTTTAAAAACCACATGTGTCCAGATAGGGCATTCAGCATAAATATAAATAAAGGAGAGAGGGGCAGGGGGGAAGCGCGCACGTATAGAAACACAACTCTTTTATGAGCTATTGATGATGGTAATACAAAGGACTCCTTTGTCAGTTTTAAACTTTTCCCTCCCCTCTTCCTCTTGTCAGGATTTTGTTGATCACTTCCATGTGCTGTTACCAGAGGGCACCACTGCCACCCAGCAGAGTATATGTAAATTTCTCCACCAGCTTGACCTCAGCCCAGACAGCTACCAAGTTGGCAAAACAATGGTACAGTATGCACACAGAACCCCAATGGTGTCTTTTCTCATGCGCAGAACCAGCAGAATTTGCAGCCCCTTAAGTCAAAAATAGATGCCTTTTTCACTCACTGCATTTTTTGTGCAGCACACGGAGAAAGACCATCAAAGTAGTTAAATGTTAAAAATGTTAATTTTTCTTGTGCCGTCTAACATTAAAAGATGCAAAAGATTGAAATCCACCATCCACCAGATCTCTCTTAATAGACCTCCAGAGGTTGTGAGATGAAATACTGTATATCAGAGGTGTATCCTAGATAAGTAGAGCATTCCCTCACAATGCTGCCATACACATAAGCATCATTCCTTTGAGATGGCACTATCCCCCAGAGTGGAGTGCGGTCTGTCATTAGAGACCCATCCTTCACATTCCTGGGGTTATTTAAGGGTGGCCGCTGTGTGCTGCTCACGTCTTTGACGCGGCCTCTGGGTCGCCGCAGGTGCTCATGCGGGAGGCAGAACGACAGAGGCTGCAGGACCTGCTGCATCAGGAGGTGTTGAGGAGGATCATCGTCCTGCAGCGCTGGTTCAGGGCCCTGCTGGAGAGGAGGCACTTGGTCAACATGAAGCAGGCCACCATTGTCATCCAGGTGGGTGTCCAGCGCCATCAGCCACTTAGACTAGTGAGGTCCACAGTGCGAACTGCAGGCCATGCTTATATGTCTGTTGATTCGTGATGCACGATCTGGATTCGAAGCATGGTCCTTCCTTACAGATCTTTAGGATATTGTGATGTGAGATGTGTGGGACTCATTTCATTGTGCCTTTTTTGTCTAATATTCCCACTTGTTGTACATCCTTTTTAATATCTCTTTCTTGTCATTTCTTATTGTTCTGTCTGGGTTTGCTGTTCTGTGTCTTTCTAAACCTGCACAAATAGTTCCTGAAAGCACTTCTATAGATGGGGATGAATTGGCCTATGCAATGTTCCTGTGTATACTCTCTTCCAATCAGCAATTGACTATTTTCAGACGGTTAGTTGGAACTTGATATGAAATTTGGATCAGATCGTTCAATAAAAATAAACACCTTTAAGAAAATCAACAGCAGAAACCACAACACTGAATCATGCAAAACTTAAAAACTATGCAGATGATATCAATTTTTCCTTTAAACGGTGTTTAGTTTTTACAGAGGTGGTAGTTTCTCTAAGAAAAGCAATATGAAGTTTTTCAAGTCAGTTGTTTTGTATTACAGTACCTTAGTCCGAGTGCTCTCTTTGTCCTTAGATTTCCTTAGGAACCGTAGTTTGCTGCTGCAGTACCTTTCATATTCTTTGATATAATATTTCCTTAATTAATATGTCAATAGGTTAATACGTCAATTAAGCTACAAATGACCATTATTAATTTCCACTGTTGCAAATATCAAATGGGTTTTTCATTAAAGAATTTTAGTTTTCTGACACAAGAACTAAATTGTGTTTTGAACTTCATACACCTTTTAAAATCCAATTGCTGTATTATACATATGCTTTGAATTTGTATTACTAATGGAAATATTTACTTTAACCAAGTATTTTTTTTTAAATGCACACCACTCTCTTGTACCTCTGTAGCGATGGTGGCGGAGCTACAGGCTGAAGCAGGCTGCTGGTGAAACGGGGGCAGACGTAACAGGCCAGCAGAGGGCAGCACTGTGCCTTCAGGCCGCGTGGAGGGGCTACAGGGAGCGCCACAGGTTCCTGGTCCGGAGGGAGGCTGCGCTGGTGATCCAAAGCAGATGGCGGAGCTTCTGCTGCCAGAGGGCCGAAGCTGCAGTCAGAATTCAGGCCGCTTGGCGTAGCTACAGAGACCGAACTGCCTACAAGGCACTCAGGAACAGGACTGTGCGTCTGCAAGCAATGTGCAGGGGAAACCTGGCACGGCAGAGGTATTAAACATTCAATTCAATTCAGTTTATTTTTATATAGCACCTTTCACAACAAGGTTCCCCCAAGGCGCTTAAACAACACCTGTTTAATGTAGAATCACTACATTAATTTGGGTTAATTTAGGTGAAGGGTCTCAGTTGTCAGAATATAAGCAATAGCAGATTTCATGCACAAATCAAATAATAACAGTTATGATGTTATGAATATTAGATTCCTAAACAAAGATAGGAAGATTCCTCAATTTCCCGTCGGGATCAATAAAGTCTTACCTAAGAGCAAAAACAAGATACAGGCTAAGCATGACTATTCCTCTACAGTAGTTGTCTGTATCTCACTGTGCAGATGAAGTTGGGTGGAGAATTTATTAATTTATTAATGCCTGTTATTCTATCCTCTGCTATCCATCATAGTAATGTAAAACAAAAATATCTCTGATTTATTATCTGACATCTCCTGTTTTAATTTTTAGGTTCAGAGTTCTTCAAGAGCAAAACTTAAAAGAGAAGGCGCTACAAAATGGACAGCCAAGTCCAGTATTAGGAGATGAACCTTTATTCCCAAAGATCATGGGCCTGGATCCCACCAAGTGGGAGGACAGCTCTTACGAACAGCGGGAGAAGTTCCTTCGGAGACATAGCTCATCACAGGAGAGTTTTCAGGACTCAGGAGCCAAGGATGCTCCATTGGACTGGAATCAGCCACATGAATCAGCCAGAGAAGAGGATAGTGGAGTTATCATGTCAGAGGTGGTGGTGAGAGAGAGGCCCAAGTTATTGGACGACCCCAACCAAAAGAAAGTGGTCAGGGCTAAAAGAGAGAGCCGAAGAATGAGGGAGTTGGAGCAGGCCAAGTTTAGCCTGGAGTTACTGAAGGTGAGGTCTAGCGGTGGCATTTCTCCATCTGAGGAGAGAAGGTGGTCTACAGAGCTGGTTGCAGACAGCTTGCACTCCCCTCAAGGCACCCCAGACAGTGAGAGCTCTAGGGGGAGTTTTGAGATTCTGAACATCGATAATCTGAAAGACAAGTCCAACTCTATGGAATCAGAAGACTTTGGCTGTTCATCCAGTTTAACTGAGCAGCCCGAAGTTTTACCCATTATATCAAGGCTGCCCGATAATCTCTTGGGGGAATCCCAAAATCTCGTTCTGGATGAACTCTCCACCAGCTCCGGGATAGACCCACCAAATTTGACTTCTTTTCTGAAGATGGAGAATCACCTGCCCACTTTCTACATCCCACAGCAAGACAGCTCCCCTGTTCTCTATAGGTCCAGTGAGGATTCTTCTGCAGCGAGACCAGAGGGTGGTGACAAACAATTGAGGGAGCAGAAGGAGTCCACACGCAAGCCCATGATCGTGGTGATCAGTATGCAGAAAGACACGGTGCTGGGTAAGGGGCAGGACTTAACGCCAGAGCTCCGGGATGGTGAAGCTCAAACTGTGGAGCCTCTATCTCTCGAGGCTAAAGATCTGAGCAACGTGGCTGTCCTGGAGAAGCTGGAGAAACTGAATGAGGAGAAGGTGGAGCGGCAGAAGCAGCAGCAGCAGCAAAATGAAAAGGAAATGATGGAGCAAATCCGCCAGCAGAAAGAGATCCTGGAGAAGCAGCGCAAATTCTTTGCTCAGTACGAGAGGGATCTTTTCGAAAAACACCGTGGCGAAGCCTTGCAGAAGATTGAGCAAAGTAGGCAGAATGAGTCTTTGCAGGCCCAGGACCCTACAGACAAGCAGACAGAAAAGCCATCTTCTCCTCTGATGTCCAAGGGCTTGTTGGAGCCAAACGCCACTGGGGACTTTGCTTCTTCTTTGGTGAATGCCCAATTGGTCTATCCCCCACAACCTGGTAAGAAAGAGCAGCCTAGCCTTGTTTCCAAAGAGCACCCACAGTTTCCAGACAGAAGGGAAGGACCGTCCAGGGCCGTACAGGATGGCTGGAGCCCCAAGCTAACACTGGAGACACGGGACACCTGTCTAAGAAATGAACGACTGAGACAGAAAAAAGCTCCCAGTCAAGTCATCGACATCAGCATGACCGACAGGCCCTCTGCTATCTTCTTCTCACCAAAATATAACAAGGTTGCATTTACCAAGTGAGTACATAGCATGATGTTTTTCCGGTTGATACAAATGTCATATCCAACTTACATCTGAAGGGGTTGGCAATGGGCAAATTTAGCATCCGCCCAGGGCTTAATCATGTATCTGTAAGTATTAAATACTTCCTTACCTTTAAAATGTGTTGTAGGTCTGATAAGGAGTCTGTGAACCAAGAGAGGTCAATGGCCATCCAAAAAGATGAAGCTTCCTCGGACCCCAAATCTTCAAAAGCAGCTGGGCACAAACGGCTTGAGGTGTGTGGAAATGATCAAAGGCTCAGCTTAACTGGCTGAGGTGTCGTGCTTCTTTATCAATTAAGAAATAACATTTTCAGAAAGCCTTTTAAGACTGCTACTGAGAACAGGTTTTTCCACAGTCATCGATCTTTTTGAAGTCGGTGGAGGGGCAGGCTTAATGTGCGATGGAGAATTGCATTTTGTTTGTGTATAGCAGAGTTCCCCAAACCTGCTTGTATTTATTATTTTGCATCTTAGAGCTACCTTGCATTGGGGAAAAAGCAATGTGTTCTATCAGGCAAAAACAGCCACCAAAAATAAGTGCACTTGTAAGCAGGGCTGAATGGCATGCAGAGGTCTGAAGTCTGAGTTGTAAGGGAAGCCTTACAGCCTTACAATGTGCTGGTCATTGTGTTTTCTGGGTGCAACAAGTAATTGGACTTTTTTTACAAGTTATTAAATGCGAAAAAGTGCTTAATTTCTGAAGCTGGAATAATCAGATACAGATTGCATTGATCCAGATACAGATTGATTCATTAGAGTGCAATGAAACGTGTACTTTGGGAATTTTTTTTCATAGCAATTTTTTTCCTCTGATGAGTACTTAATAAATCAGTTATACATGATCTCAGGGTCATCCGTTAGGAATGGGCATAAGGTAATCAAGCAATTCAGGGATTAGTTCCAACAAGGCAGGTGCTCAGGCATACAGTGTTAATCATGAAACATCCAAGAATGAAATAAGCTGGTCTTTGTCAGCTTTTGTCAAACATGATATGAGATTTAAGATTATTTTAATAAGGGGAAAAATAACAGAAGGTCAAAGAGTATGATTTGGAGCTGGGGGTGAGACAGACTCATCAGAGCTGGGTTTGTTTTAAGAACTACAATGAAGCTATGACAGAAAACCATTTTATTTGGTATACAAATGCCTTTGAAAGCACACACTGTACACAGATTTTGCTTGGTTGTTTCTCAGTATTGCATCAGTCACACTTAATGTGCTATTGATGAGTTATGATCAAGCAATTAAACCTTTCCCTTAACTTTGAAGACTTGGACTCACAATTAACTGTAATGTAAAAGTATCTGCAACCAACAGTTTAAGAACAGGGGTTTCAAAAGCTGATGTTGCAGAGCCCCCCCTCTAGCAAGTTTTAATGGTAAGCATTAAATCATTATTTTAAAGAAAAAACTTTGAACAATTTAGGTATGGTAAATTCAGGGGGTGAGATTTCAAATTATTCTAGAGCCCTTTTTGTATATAAATCTGAATACCCATCAGCACTTAATGATCAGCATTTGAATAGGATGCTTACTTGTTTGCATAATAATGCAATGGAAGTAAGTGGTTTGGAGTGATCTAGAAAACGTACTGATTTTTAAAAAGAGCTTGTATTTTCCCCAGTTTTTGAAGTTCATTGAATGACTTGATCAGTTCAGAACAAGTTCCTCTGTCTTGTTCAGCCCAGCTAACCTGTGCACCCCTGTTGTTGTGGTTGCTACCAAACTGTCGCTCCGTGTAATTCTGGGTGCTCTGTTTGTTTGTTTTTTTTTCATTTTATGTAGTTTTGTTTGTGCGTGTCTTTGAAATAAGACCGTGCTAATTTTATCTCTCAGAGTTGTTCTGAGTATCTTTTTTTCAATTCATAATTCATAACATGAACAAATTCATCTTATGAAGGGGGAGACCATATAAAAAGAAATAAGCTGACTGAGTTTAGTGTTCAGTTAAGCCGCTTTTAGTTTATGAGACGCGCGTTTGTTGCCTTTGCCGATATTCATGCAGGGTTGAATGGGAGCAGACACTAAGGTCACAAGAACGTGAGGACTGGGTTTCCCCAGGTGCGGCGTTTCTGAGTGCATGTCTGTGTGTGTGTGCGCGTTTCAAAACGGAGAGACATACTGTAATTATGAGCTCGTTTTCATTTCACTCCGTTTCAAAGTACTTTGGAACATGAAAGGCCCTGCCTTCAGAGCTCGCTTTGAGCTCGGCCGTGCGAGAGCCGCGAGGGCCGCAGCAGGGAGGTTTTACCTGTGTTGTTATTATCTGGTTAATTAGGTTGCCAGACCAGGCCATAAAAAGAAGGCCCGCATGGCACGGACACGCTCCGATTTCCTGACCCGAGGTTCAAACCCCGAGGGGGAGGGGGAATCGGAGGACGATGAGTACGATGAGCCCCTCATCACACCCCCTCTCTCCCCCAGCCTGCCCCACCCGGAGCAGGACGCTGAGGGGAGCGGAGTACAGGCTTGTCACAGTGACTCCGAAATGGTAATTGAACCAGCCAAAGCAAACCCCCAACCTCCAGGCCTCTTCTGGGTGCAAAGCTCACAAGTGGGAGCGAACTCTTTATTGCTAACCCCTTCAGCACCGCCTGGGTAGAACTGCAATACTGACAACTAAATATGCTTCAATTTTTTTTTAACTTTGAACACTTTACTATAGATTGGGAAACACCTTTTGAAATACAGCATTAAGCGTGACATTTCAAGGTCTACTGGAAAGATGAACCCTTTCTACGCATCTTGCTTCCATGGCATTGACATGCAAGAAAAGAAAAAATATATACTCTATATTATAAAATAAATCATCTTTTATTATTTACTTTTCAGTAAAACCTTTCGCAAGAAAGTCCAAAGATGTTCAACATTCCAAGGCTTGGTTTGTTCGTGTGGACACAGAAATGTGTGTGTAGCGTTAATGCGCCTCTGCAGCCAGTGGAATTGAGGACAAGGTGTAGAAAGGGTTAACCGTCAAGTTGATGGGACGAACCCCACAATCCTCTGCAGCAAGATCCAAATTATTCACAAAGAGAGAGACAGCATCTCCAAAATCAGATTTTTTCTTCATTAGGCTTCTTGCAACAAACAGCCAAGTGCTTTTTTGCAGAATGGGACCATTATACTGTACCTGCATAATGCAGCTACCAAAATGCCTAGCTGTTTAATTAATTGACTGCTGAAATGTTGAAAATGTCCAAACCCAAGGATGAATCATCTGCTGATTCTGAAGGGATTAAGTCAGTCAAGGGAGGTTGTCAGTTAGCCACAAAGCTGGGTTCAAAAGGGTGTTTCCTTATATTCAGTGAATCACCATGTTAACTCACTTGCACTGGGTATAGTGATTTCTGGCTGGTGTGGGTGCCTTTGCCAAGCTGGGGTGGGGTGGGGGGTGGGCACTTCAAATGGCAAAATCTCACGTCATTCATCGTAAAGGCCAAGTGCAGAATTCACCTACTTTCATAAGAGCCTGGTTAACAGCCAATCATTGCATGCTATAGCTTGTAACTGCCTTCTGGGGGCGCACTTGATCTCCTTCCTTCTCTCACAGTCCGTGCTGAGCACATCCATCGTCACCCTGCAGGTTGGTTTCAGTGGGCCTCTCGTGTCACTGGACACGCCGACTTGAGTTTCTCCTCTGCCTGATTTTGTTGATTTTGTTTGATTGTAAAGTGTTTCTTTAACCTACCGTACAGTATGTGTCATAATGTTTAACTTTTCAGGGTTTGTCTTTGTTTAGAGATGTTTTTTTGTTGTCCACACAGGTAGATAAGCACTGAAACTGATCAGCGGTATCTTACAAAAATAGAGAGGTGACGCAGGATGTCAAATATAAGGGTTGGATTTCAGGAACAAAGATACAAGAAAATCACCCGGTCACAATTACATCACAGTCCCTCAGCAGTTCCTGCCTTTGATCTGCAGTATAGCGAATGATACAGCATCATACCACATAATAGCACATAAACTCTGACACTGTTAACATGAACTTCTTTACCTTTAAGTATCTTCCACCATTAGGTAAGAATACAAAATTGTACTGTCGGTCCTGCAGGGCAGCACAGTGAGGATTTCATGCTGATTAACTGATGTACTGTGCGGTCATGCAATAGGAAGAGCTAATGTAAAGGCTTTTATTGTATCTGAGCCAAAGGCAAACTTTACAAACTGCACTTGTTTATAAATCAAAACACTATTCAGTTAAAGTTTTATTTTTGGTACCATTTGTTTCAGTTCAGGTATTCTAGAGTGTGCTACCACAGTAAAGCTTTCAGCCTCCCAGCCACGTATGACACCAATCTGTTGATCTGTTAAAGAATATGAACGTGGGGATTTAGATATTGAAGATTGAGCACATAATTGGTTAGTGTCACAGCAGTCGCAATTTTAGAAAATCTGTGGGCAACATTGTGTTTGTTGCCTGTGTCGAAACTGAGGATACACTGCCATCTGTAGGTTAAGATTAATCTCATCTACAAAGTTAATTAATCTCATCTGCTTACACAGGCCAAGAAGAAATCACATGAAAAGAAATTTTGTGCAGTTATGCAGTTGTATCACTTAATGGATGAGGAAAACATAAAAATTCATGCTTTGAGATGAAGCAAAAGGTTGATATGTCTTTATGACTGCTCCTTGTTATCTGGTACTTAAGTTTCCAGGACACTACACCTCAATCAACATTGTTTCTGTCAGCCAGACATTCTGTTGTGCTGACATGGTACACAGTAGTAGATGCCAAGGGGGTTTAGATACAGTAAATAACAGTAGGGGTTTGCCAGTAAAGAGGATCAGTGCTTTTTTCTTGTAAGCAAATTTAAGAATTTTGATTTCCTATAAATATATCAGGAGGTTTCCTCTATGTTAGCAGCTCCTATAAGAAGCTGTGTGATTGAGTGCTGTAGTAACACAAAAGTGCCTTGAAGGGAGACACTCATTTAGAGCTGAAGATGTCCATTGAGTTTAGATGATCTTTTTCTTGTGCAGTTTTTATTTTTTGTTTTACTTTATTTAATGTATTTGATGAGATGAGACAAGATGGTCATATATACTTTCACACTCAGATATTGAAGTCACTGACATTCTATTGGAGTAGCAGATTAATTTTTTTCTTAACTTTTGATAAAAGGGACCCGTCTTGAGTGTTTTAATACATTGTGCCACTCCATTGAAATTTCAGCCTTCCTCATATACCGAAGAGCAGAAGAAGATGCATAAAACCATGTCTTCTGGAGATCTAGGCAAGATGGACAGCATGAGGAAGAATCCCCATGCAGATGGAAGGTAACCGGTGTAATGGCAGGAATGTAGCAAAATTTCCATTGTGTGCACACATGCTTTTTGTGCATTACAGCTGTTTTGCTTAGAGACTTGCTATTATGTGTGGTTTCCGACTGTGCATCATGCTACCCTAGGTACTGGCATTATTTTTAAAAGTGCAGAAGCAAGACGGAACATTCAATGGCATACTTCCCTTGTGCCAGCGTTTGCTGGCGTTGCACTTACGGTATGTCATATGCTGTGGATTGTTTCTCCTGGGCAGTACTCCTCTGAGCCTATGTCTCTGTGTTGGGGTGACAGGGTCCGGGGTAAAATGCGTTTCTGGGGCAAGACAAAGCAAGGAGACAAGAAGTCATCCAGGGAGAAGCTCGCCAGCACAGGTGACCTGCTGGAGCTCCATAGAGAAGGAGATGCCATGGAATCTGGATTGAACACCGCTGAGGGTGAGTACACTCCGCTGTCTCCTCCTGGGTATCGCCAGTGTGTTATGTGTAATCCTACAGTATATAGAGGCACTAAAGTCATTCTGATGCTCATGGATAGGGAGTGTAGTAGGAGACCTATTTGCCTCCCACATGGGGAAAGTAAACCCAGGGATGTGGGGACGTCTTGGAGTTGCCAGTTCAAACTAACCCAGCTTCCCATAAACCCTGAAAACCTCCAAAATCAACTGTTCAATTCAGACACAAATAGAAGCTTTTCAAAACTACATTTAGTGACCGGTCATTCACCACTAGAAACCATGAAGTTAGCTTTGGCAGTGAGGGTTAAAACAATGGCTAGGGCTATGAAGGAAGAGGGCACTTCCTCTGTTGCTCCTCTCCACATCAGTCCATGCACGTATCATACTTTTAGATTTCAGCCACCTGACTTGTGGTAGCTTGGAGCAAAGAAATATGTGAATGATTTGTTGACAGAATGGATAGTGTTTACCAATAGTATGGATTTAATAAACATCAGGTTGAGACATCAGGTGTGGCATGCCCAGCGTAAACCTGCAGTGTAGAATGTCGAGAACATAAAAGCATGCGAGGTATCCAAATGAGAGAAGGCCATTTTGGACCTTCTGGCTCATTTGGTTGCAGGCAGCCATTGCTGTGGCGGCAGTAGAGGGTGGGTGGGCATCGACAGCAGCGGTGAACTCTCTCCCCCCAGCAGGGCAGGAGCACATGACGCCGCCCCGCAGCCCAGACCTGGCCTTGGAGCGAGGGAAGGAGTTCAAGGAGAACAAGGAGCCGTCCCCCAAAGTGAAGCGGCGCAGGAGTGTGAAGATCAGCAGCGTGGCCCTGGAGCCGGTGCTGTGGCAGAACGACTCCCTCCAGATCCTCACCAGCGCCAACGACTACAAGAGCATGAACGAGTTCCTGATGAAGAAGGTGAGGCCACGCGGCCAGGGCCGTACCGGCCTCGCCAGCCTGCAGGCATGATGGGTTTGCCAATCAAACAGAATGTGAATCACATAATGAAAGATCTTCATCTTCATCTTCCAGATAAATGACCTAGAAACTGAGGACAGCAAGAAAGACACCTTAGTGGACGTGGTCTTTAAAAAGGCTCTTAAAGAGTTTCGCCTCAATATCTTCAACTCCTACTCGACTGCCTTGGCTGTGAGTAGCTCTACATCAACCTCATCTAAAAGATTATACTTGTGCAATTTACAGTATATTGAGTATATGATTTAATTAATTGTTATTGAAAGATCGATCTACACAAATCAGAGACTCTCCTGTTAGCGTCTCTACACCATATCATTGTTGCTGCTACTGGATGGAGGACATGCTTTACAGCAAATATAATGATTCAGAAACCATGAGATTCCAAATAAGAACATTTCAGGAGTTCAGATTCATTCAGTTGATTTGTGTTGTGGTTGTGAAAGCTGCCGCAAACTGCCTTTGTGTGTAGTCAGTGAACGTAACTGCTGTTTACTGTGTCATAAATTGGCTACATTCTGCTGTTTTGCTTTCACGAAGCTCTGACATTGATTTAAATGCAGATGGATGATGGGAAGAGTATCCGTTATAAGGATCTTTATGCACTGTTCGAGCAAATCCTGGAGAAGAACATGAGGCTGGAGCAGCGGGATTGGAGCGAGTCACCTGTCAAGGTCTGGGTGAACACCTTCAAGGTCTTCCTGGACGAGTTCATGACTGAGTACAAACCCCTGGACAGCACCCTGAGCAAGGTACAGTGTCAAATGTTCTCCTGAACCAGAGCAGTCATTCTCTCCATCAATATTCTACATGTGTTCTGACAAAAGCCTAAGGCAGAATGCTAAAGGATATCCTCGATGGCCTTGACAGAGTGGACTTTATGATGGCTGTGTCTTTAAACTGCTGTATATAGAACATATATATAGTTGAAACATCTAGACATTGTAGAATTAATTAATTTGAGCATCAATGTGGAATTAATCAGTGAGATAGTAATCGCAAGGCCTGTAAAGCAACTGTGCTGGAATCTTGAGTAGAATCCTTCAACGTCTTCCCCCCAGCTCATTCATTTGTTAATTATGCCATCTTGCTGCTCCATAGATGCCTAAACCAGAACGCAAGAAGAGGAGGAAAAAAGACACAGATATTGTAAGTACACTGTCCTGTGGTACATCTGTTATCGTTATTAACTTTCTCATAGTGTAATTACATTTCCAGGATTTTTGTTTGAATGTGAAATGTGAGCATTCCGTCTTTCTAGGAGTTTACATTCCAGTGTCATTCCAGCTGGTAGCTTCTTGACTTATTGGCAGCGAGAAAAATTGACTGTTTGACAGCTACCTGGTGCGTTTCACAAGTTAAAAAAATAAATAATTCAAATTTACAATTTGCTGTTGTAATCCTTAGGCGGGAGTGTTCTTCTGTTAACCATATCCTTAATTTTTTTAATACTATAAAAATGTGGCCAGAAGACAACTTCCCCAAGCAGCATGACAGTCATATTTTAAATGCCTTTGATTGACTATTGAGAGCTTTCATCCAAAACTACGGGGACACAAAGACAGTGAAGCCTTACTTTCGAGCTACCAGATAAGACCTATCCTATACTGTAAAGTGCAATTGAATTCCTTGCGCTGTCCTGATGAAGAAGGTTATATCTTGCTGCAGGTTGAGGAGCACAATGGCCATATCTTTAAGTCTACTCAGTACAGCATCCCCACGTACTGTGAGTTCTGCTCCTCTCTTATCTGGATGATGGACCGAGCCTGTGTATGCAAGCGTAAGTTAATTACTTCCTTTGTGTTTGTCTTTAAACCACGTACAACAGCTGGAATTAGATCTTAAACAGCTCGGCTGATGCCAAACTACCCATGGTCTCATTACCCTCCCTGTCTTGTTTCCAGTTTGTAGATTTGCCTGCCACAGAAAATGCTGCTTGAAATTGACTACAAAGTGCATCAAAAAGGTAAGTCTTCCATCTGCAGTGCATAGTTCAAAGATTTCACCATTGTTACTTGGAAACGTGTTCATATGCACAGTACATTTGAATAATGATGTTATCCTTGCCATTATAAAACTTAGGAAATCCATATCTGACATAAAAAATTTTACCTGAATGATGACTGAGTGCCTCCACAGTGAACATGGCATTGTTCTAATTTTTTTTAAATACTTCATTCTCCTTTGTGTTAGTGCATTCACAATATTAGTGTCAGCTGAGCTCAGTATGTGGTCTTACAAGTGGAGAGCTGAGCTGAGTGGAGTACTGGAGTGGAGTGGGGCGTGGCCCTGCCCAGCAATTGTGTGACGGTGTTTGTGTTCCCCGGCAGTATGATCTGGAGCTTTCCTCCAGGCAGTTTGGTGTGGAGGTCTCCCGCCTGACCAATGACGAGAGGACAGTGCCCCTAGTGGTGGAGAAACTCATCAACTACATTGAGATGCATGGATTGTACACAGAGGGTATTTATAGGAAGTCAGGCTCTACCAACAAAATAAAGGAACTCAAGCAAGGACTGGACACAGGTATGTCTAGAGAAGAAAAGTATTGATGGTTCTGTGCTGTATCATGCAGTTTTGTTGTCAATGTCAGTTGTCAATAGTAAAGGAAATACTGAAAGTTGTCCATATTGTCATAGTATTATACTAGATAGCAAATCTTTCGGTTTGTGGATATGACTGTGGTGTATTATTATATAGCAGAATTTTTCTGGCTGTTGGTTTTAGTTGTGTCTTTGTTTCTGCAGATGTGAACAGTACCAACCTGGACGACTACAACATTCACGTCATAGCCAGTGTGTTTAAGCAGTGGTTACGAGACTTGCCAAACCCGCTTATGACCTTTGAACTGTATGAAGAATTCCTCCGAGCTATGGGTAAGAGTCTTTGAATGTACTGAGGCCGTTGAACGACATTTTTTTTTTTATAGTGCAATACATTACAGACGTTCAAGTAGGGAGCTGCATTGGCATGCGCAGGCTGCCGAGGAACAGCTGAAGGTTTATTCCATGCTGAAAAGAAAAGAGACCCAACGTTTCGGCTGTGGAGCCTTCTTCAGGTGAAGACTTGAGGAAGACCTGAAGGACTTGAAGAAGGCCCCACAGCCAGAACGTTGGGTCTCTTTTTGTCGCTCATTCCACACGCTCTCACAAACGCCGTCACACTCCCATGTGACTAGTCTTCCTATCGCCTTTCACTCCCATCACTGCTTTAACCCTCCTCGCTTCCCTTACCCAGTCTTGACTAGCGCCTGCCTTTTGGATTGCGGATATTAGGATTTGTTTCTCTTTTGGTAGCCTTTTCCATCTGGACTTCCTACTACTGCTCAGGGAATAAGCCACCTTGAGCCCTGCACAGGGTCCTTATTTTCAGCATTCATAGTTGCTAACACCTTTCTTTTCCTTCCGCTTGGAACAAACCTTTCCCTAGTACAATACATTATATTTCCATCAACAGGTGTAATTTATGGAGTAGGAAAATTGGTTGTATCCATAATTTTAAATATGTGGTAAAAAAATATTCATAACAACTTTATTGATCCAATGATATATTTTTTTACGTCATTCAGTATTTAAAACCTTCGGTTTATTCAGTATATTGTCTGGAAAATGTAAGAACTAAGGAAGTGTTAAGAACTAAACGTAAGAATGTAAGAACAGTAACCAATTGCAGAAAAAAACAAGGTATCTTTGTGTTGGTAGTATTAATAATAAGAGGAATCATGTCTCCTACTTTGAAACTATAGGTCTGCAGGATAAGAAGGAGATCATTCGAGGGGTGTACTCTGTGATTGATCAGCTAAGCAGAACTCATATCAACACATTGGAGCGCCTGATATTCCATCTTGTCAGGTGAGTAAGAGACCTTGTACTAAAGGTAGCTTCTTAAATTAGTGTCTCTGGTGGCAGGTTCCTATTGGAAAGTTTAGACAGGATATTTCAAAAGGCTGTTTGGGCTATTTCAGTTTTCCCAAAATAGAAATGATTACGACAGGTCATTTTGGTCTTAAGCCCGACTGTATGTGTAGGGTTTCATGGCTAGTGGTGACAAATGAAGTAACAAACATGGCTTGTCTTGGTTTTTACAGAATCGCCCTGCAGGAGGAGACCAATCGCATGTCTGCGAACGCGCTAGCCATTGTATTCGCTCCGTGTATACTGCGCTGTCCCGACACCATCGACCCACTGCAAAGTGTTCAGGACATCGGCAAGACCACTGCGTAAGACTCTCTGAAGCAGCTAGTAAAAAATATCCATCCCTGTCTTTGGTGTTCAATAATAATAATAATAATTATTATTCCTTACACTTATGTAGCGCTTTTCTGGACACTCCACTCAAAGTGCTTTACAGGGGATCCCCTTCACTGACATGTAGCCCCACCTGGATGATGTGATGGCAGCCATCGTGCGCCAGAACACTCACTACACACCATCTCTCAGTGGGGAGGGGAGCAGAGTAATGAAGCCAATTCATAGATGGGGATTATTAACAGCTCGTGATTGGTAAGATCCAATGGGAAATTTAGCCAGGATGCCAGTTACACCCCTACTGTTTTCAAGAAATACCCTGGGATTTTTAAAGACCACAGAGAGTCAGGACCTCGGTCTCATCCGAAGGACGGCGCCTGTTTACAGTATAGTGTCACCCGTCACTATACTGGGGCTTTAGGAACCACATGGACCGCAGGGTGAGCGCCCCCTGCTGGCCCCACTGACACCTCTTCCAGCAGCAAACTTGGCTCCTGGGAGGAGTCTCCCATCCAGGTACTGACCAGGCTCACACCTTCAGTGGGCTTCAGTGGGCTGCCAGCTGTGAGTTGCAGAGTGATATGGCTGCTGGTTCAGAAGCTCACTCCATCCTTTCTTCAGCTGATGTCTCAGGTTATCAACCTGTGGGTCGGATGAGTTTTTGTGCTTCAGTGCCTATATTTTTTCAGGGCTTTTGGAGCAAGGGCTAAAAAATAAGATGAACTCCAAAACTGTTGAGATAATGGTTACAAATGTTTGTATATTGTCATGTTTTTAAATCTTGCTTGAAAAATGTATTTTTTAAAATTTTTATCTTCTGCATTGCCTTTGTCATTCTTAATTTTGTTGTGATGCGTGTTTTTCATTTTTTGAAAATCACTTGAAGACTTGAGCTCCAGTGTAGCTTAGTGAACTCAGTGAAAAGAGTAAAGCTAACAGCAAATCATTAGGTTTTCCTCATTTTCAGATTAAACCTGGAAAGATTTACACTTCATTTCCAGGCTGAGAAAGCTAAAGATAAAGATAAGAGAGTCAAAGAAAAGCACGACAAAGATTGTACTAATGGAAACAGTAACTAGTCATGGTTGAATAATAAATAATATTAATAGTTAATAGGTTTTCTGGTTGTAACGGTGAGATATTATTCTTTGTCTAAAATAAATGTGCTAAAACTGAAATGAAAAAGGAGTCATATACACACTCCAGGTCCTGCCTGGGAAATTTGCTAAAAGTTCTGCTTCCCTTCAGCCCATAGTCTCTGAATGTGTTTAATGTTCATTCTCTTCGATAATGCAGGTGTGTGGAGCTGATCATCGGTGAGCAGATGAACAAATACAAGGCCAGACTAAAGGACATCAACAGCCTGGAGTTCGCAGAGAACAAAGCCAAGAGCAGATTGTCTCTAATCCGGAGGTCTATGGTAAGATTCAGGTGCCAGGGGGGTGAAACTGCATATGCAGAATTTCAGTGCACGGATAACAGAAAAAGACATGAATAGACTCACTAACAACCACAGCTTCAGTTTCGTTCTGAAGCTAAAGAAATTGGCCTATTGTCATCACATTCTGTAGGCTGCTTATCAAATGAACATTTGTCTGGACTACAGGACACTACAGTGCCATTTCTACACTTTCAAAAGTGGCTACAAAACAGACATATTGTCATTTCAGTAACATTGTTTTTCTTGTGCCTTCCCAAAAGATGGGGCTGATTCTGAAACAAAATCAGTGCTTTTGTTACTGCTCTTTTTTCCACACTAAGGATTTAAAACCAGAAAATTCCGGTTGTGTCATCACCTTATAAAGTCATGTCAGAAATTAGGCATTTTCAACAGGGCTAATGTAATTACACTGTTTGTGTTGAAGCCAAAGTAGCCCACAGCCCACATTCCTTTTTTTCCCCTTTTCCATCCATATATTATGTTTAAGGTAACAGGCATTGCACTAGTAATCTGACTGTTCCCTTAAAGCTGGAAGATTTGTCTCAGGGACAGCAGCGTTTCACAGTACTTTCTTCAAGGCTCAATGCCAATTTAATTTTCTCACAGGAAATGTAATATTTAAAAATTTGTAATTTCATTGCATTGAATCTCCTTTTGTTTCACCTCAATGGTGTACTTTGTCATGACAGTCCTTTCTTAAGGCTTGGTGGTCCGACCTGTTTTAGTTGTACTGTACATGTAAAAAGGTCCCATTCTTTTCAACTGTACTTCATAAATATACCATAACAGTCTACTTGCTGTTATTAGGTGACTTAATTTTAAATTTATTTTAAATGTGTAATAAACAACAATATAAACAACAAAACAAACCAGTTCTTTGAACTTGCGTGTTACCATAAGCACCATGTGCTTTGATAATATTCTACATTTTATATGCAGTTCTAAGTAAATACTAGTTATTACTGAGAAGAGACATGAACATAAAATAAAAGCAAAGTAAAAGCAACAGTAATTATCAAGTATGTATTTAGAAAATTATTTTTATTTTCTCCCCCATTCTCTTAACTTATCACTATGCAGAAACTTTTTTTTTTGACGTTGTTTCTGATGGAACACCTCACGATTCAATTATGAATATACAGTACTTTTGTTACATATGTTCAAGGCTTATAACCCCTTACATACTGTAAGTATAAAACCACTAGTGCATATGTTCAGGTATGATAGTAACTCTCTGTGCCATCCAAAATGCACACAGCTACTGTATGTCTCATCAGTCTCATACCTAAAAGAGCGTATTCTGGAGTATTGTCTTCACGATTTCTCTTCAGTCCAAAATGAGCTTAGTTTCTTTCTCAGCCTGTCCTACAGCAGGTGCTAGCTTTCTTCATAAAGACATTGTGGGGGCCATGATGACCACGGACAGAGCTGCGCTCTCAGCCCTGAGAGGTGCTTCCTCCTGGCAGGCTCTTGGAGGCTTTCTGTAGCACAGAGCTCTGTTGTCACACACTGCCCTTCCTGCAAAGGAATCCCAGAGCACCACAGAGAACCACAAACAAAGCAAGACAGATCACACATTCTACTGTATACATTGTCCTTATCAACACCTGTGTTTGCTGGAAAAGATGACATTGCCACTAGAGTAAAGACGAACAGTACCAGTTGTCACCCAAACACCCTGCCATAAGTCATGTAAAACATTCATGGTTGAAAATTAAGAGACCCTGAAGTGAAGGCAAAACAGATGCTGGCAAAGCGTATTTAACAGTTCACTTTATCTGTGGAAATATTCAGTTTCTAGTACTTTGTTCTCCATCCTGTTATAACCAGTTAGAACTGAGACTAATTTTGTTTCAAAGTAACCCTTTTTGTTTCAGTAGCACCTAATTCCCATTTCAGTGAAGACTTACACTAATCCTGTTCTCTCTTCCCCATCCTCTCCTAATCCAGAAACCTGTACTAATTGCTGTTAGGTTTATGAGCATAACCCGCAGTGCGATCCCGGTATGTATACTCCATGTAACCCTGTGCCAGCCATTCTCCAGCCCATCTTCCTGTTGCTTCCTTCAGTCATTCATGCCCTGTGCTGTGTGGCTAACTGTGTTGCCATCCATGTCCACACTGTGCCTCTCGCCGCCTGCGTTTGCTGGCAAATGGACGTTGCCACTGGCGAGTCGCAGACTCAAGTTTGCCATGCCAGGTGTCAAGTGTTCCACACAGACATCTTTCATGACTGTTGTCTGTGTGCTGGTGTCAAGTCAGTGAGGTCAAGTATTGATGCTGTTTGCAACCTATGGCCTTAACAGCAGTTTCTTTTTTTAAAGCCATTCACCCACGGTGATTGTTGAATCTTATTTGAAACGTGGTTTTTCTTCTCAGATATGTGACTTCTTCATAAGAGCACTGTTGTCTGTTTTGACAAAAAAACAAGGGTTTTCCAACAAATAAAGTGATGACTGATGGTGAATTTGTGGGAATCAAGTATCAAGTTTTTGATATCCTATAAAAATGGGAAATATCTGAATTGACTGGCTTGTTTGCACCAACTGTTCGCTTAACTCTTGCATTGTTTTGGTAGTAGCAGACATCCCGTCTTTTGTCAATTGTCTTAAGCTGGCTTGCAGTGTCAAATGCAGCCTTGGTACTGTATATGGGTTGATTTAGTTTGTCATACCTTATTATGCAGAGGCTGCAAATGCTGTGTATGTTTTTCCTACCTTTGGTGCGGGCAGCTTTCTAATGCTATGCTTTTTTTGTCTGAGTAATGTGAATGTTTTTTTTTTTAATGGGGCAAGTCTTGGACTTTTTGAATTTCCTTAATGAAGCAGAGATCTTAGAGAACACTGTGAAATCTGAAGAAATGGGACATGTGAAAGCATATTTTGTTAAAAGATATTTGGCTGCATTGATCAAGGAGGCACTTAGAGCAAAAACAACATCCACAAACCTGGGTCATATCATATGAATTGCTATTTGGCAGTGGAAAAGTAGTGGAGTTGGGGGTGTTAGAAAATAGAAGAAGCAAAAGGAGTATGAAACACTGGTAATATAATTAGAATATAAATACTTTAATTGGATCTCCAGATTACCGATTATTCGTTCCAAGTTTTTTTAAAGTACAAAAGGTAGCTAATGACTAATGACTATGGTGCTGATTCATCATCTACTGTAGGTTAAAGGAAGGCAGCAGTGATCAGGGTTCTGAACTCATAACTGGAAGGTTGTGGGTACAGAATCCAGGTAAGGTACTGCTGTCACTACCCTTTGAACAAGATATTTCACCCAAATTGTTCAAGGGAAATAAATGGTTGCCTTGGATCCAAATCCAAATCATTTATTGAAAGATGGTTTACAAATGTCCTGGTTTTCCTCTGTTGCGCACAGCTAGTGAAGACAGAGTCGACACTGACTGGACAAAAGCCTGTCACTTCTTGCCAGATTCCAAACACATTGTCTGTGGTCTTGTGCTGGTGCACATTGTGCATACTGTTGGTGTCTTCAGCACGTGTTTCCACGTGATTTTGTCTCTCCATTAGGAAACTACCATGTGGAACTAAATCATTGCCTCATGTCATGCTTACCCTATTAACCTATTATTATTTTCATTTTTTAAACTTTTTTAACATGCAGCCAAACGCCACTAGAAAGGTAAAAGTCTTAGCTCTGCTTATGTCTTTTGTTTGCTGAAGTGTAGCTAGTAATGAAACTGCATGAGTCTTCGAGCTCACACCAGGTGTAGGCCTCTGTCCTGTCTGGGGTCTCTTTATTCCAGACTGTTTCCATGTGCACACACTAGTGCCATGCTGGGAGAAGATAGCTGAAGAAGCGTATCTGTCTGCCCCACAACTACACCTGGTGTGAATTAAACCTCTAACAAAGTACATTTATAAAGGAGTGCAAGATGTTATTTTTTAAATGTTATCATAGTCATACTGAAGAGCTTCATGCCACAAGAGTAAAACTCAAGTCTCTTTCATCGTGTCTGGCTATGTAAGCCCAGACTGCTGCTCGGTTTATAACTTTTATATTCTTTTTTTAAATAATAATAATGTAGGCATTGCAAGATTTTTGTAACTTTGCTAAACGCTCCGACTTTAATGCCTTCTGTGACTCGGTACGAAACACACACACAGGTTCGTTAATTTTCATTAAAAGCGCATCAGTTTCCGCAGGTCTTGAGCCTGGTCAGGGCGGTCACTCGGTGCAGTGGACGGCGCGACCCGCACCATGACAGGTTTGCTCGAACTGCTCCAGAGAGCCCGCTGGGAGTCCGCCCGAGTCTCCCTGTGATGGGGCGCGGCGAGAGCCGAGAAGCCGCGCTGCCGGTCCTGATCGGCGCCTGGCGCCCTCTTGTGTGCGGCAGGGGAAGGGCCGACTGCGCCGCAGCAGCTGCCACACGCCCTCGTCGCCGGCCAGCCCGCGGCTGCCCTCGGTGTCGGACGTGGCGGAGGAGAGCGCCGGGGAGGAGGCCGCCGTGGACGTGGAGCTGTCAGACCAGCAGCAGGCCGCCATGCAGCAGGAGGAGCGCGTCCTGACGGAGCAGATCGAGAGCCTGCAGAAAGAGAAGTGAGCCGCCCGGTCCCTCTCCGCGCACGCCCGTATCGGTAGTGAGACCCGGCATGTGTGAGGAGTCGAGAAAACAGCTGGCTGTCAACAGCCGTAGAGAAAGTGCAGAGTTACCCTTTTGTTTAATTAGTCGATCATCATGCAAACATTTGTTCCGTTTATTGCCGCTTTCTCACCTTGATTGTGTTGACTGAAACTGAACTGGGTCGAAGCGGTTGTTTACCTTAATGCTTTATACTGATTTAACCTGGATCTCCCTTTTTACAAAGTTAAAGTAAAACTTTTTTGCTTAAAAAAAAAAGAATTAAAATGGCCAAGCCGTGAAAGACATAACAGAAAAACACACCACAGATTTTTCATTTTTGCCAGATTCTAGGGAACTAAGCTAAATCATGGTAATCATGATTTTTTTACATACTGTAATAGCATGGGTTGGGTACAGTACATAGGCTGTAAAGATGGCCTCATCATAGACCCACTAAGTAAAGAATTGAGAAAAGCAGTGTAACACATTTCATTATGAAGGTTTCAGTACTGTTAAGTGTTAGTGTAGCAGTTAGTGTCGTTTAAAAAAAAAAATGACTTCATATGAACAGATGTGGTAAAAGATGTCCTCGGAAACGTTAGGGAAGGCATCTCCCACACACGCGTGCACTGTGCCCTGGTGTGTGACAGTGCCGTATTTGCAGGGAGGAGCTCACGTTTGAGATCCTGACGCTGGAGCCCCGGGCCTCAGACGACGAGACGCTGGAGTCAGAGGCATCTATCGGAACGGCAGACAGCTCGGAGAACCTCAATGTGGACTCTGAAGGCGCTGCCTCGGACTTCTCTGGTGAGTGACATTACCGCATCTCGGTGCAGAGTCCCACTGGACGATGCTTTCCTTCTTATCCCTGTCCATGATACCTGCTCGTTCAGCGAATAGGAATCCTGTGAGTTTAATGTAATCTTAGCGGTAGGGACCTCCTGTCCATATCGGCTAATTATTAATTAGCTGATTAATAGTGCGGGCGGTAGAAGAAGTATTTCATAATAAGCATTTCGTTGTCGTCTTTATTGTAGATCATGTATATCACAAGGGCTCAGACGTTGCGGCTGCGGTCGGCCTGCTGGTAAGGCAGGCCCTCGGCTGAAGGCGCGCAGTGTTTGTTAAAGAGCTCTGGCTTGTCCCCGCAGAGAGAGGCTCGGGGCTGGCCGCCGCCCGGCCCAAGAAGGCGGAGTACCCCAGCAGGACGAGGAGGATGCTGAGGAGGCAGGCCGACTCCCTGGACTCCGTGGACTCGGCCTCCACTGTCTCCTCCGTCTCCTCTTCCTACTCGCAGCCCCCCGTGACCAGACGGCGGTTCCACTTCCACTCCAAGTCCCCCTCCTCCGCCCCCGCGTCCCGCGCCGGCCCCCCGAGCGAGCCCGCCGACGCCCCGGGCGCCGACCCCGAGGCGGAGGAGCGGCCGCAGTTCACCAGCCGCGGGACCTTCAACCCCGAGAAGGGCAAGCAGAAGCTGAAGACCGCCAAGGGCTCCCCGCAGAAGCCCCGGGAGCCCCCCGAGGGCGGCGGGCGCAAGAGGAACGCGGAGCCCGACTTCGGCTCGGCGCAGCAGCTGGTGCTGTACGGCAGCAACGAGTTCATGGTGTGAAGGGGCCCTCTGCCGGGGAGCAGGGCGCGGTCTGCCCAGCCCTTCTTCAGAATCCAGCTCTTGCCTTGCACACGCTGCGCCCCCGCCCAGGTCAGCGCCAAGCAGGACCACCCCAGAGTGCCATGAGGAGACAGCGGGAGAGCCCCCTGCCTGGGGGGGCCTGTGGGCTTGCGGCCTTAACTTGCAGCTGCGTTCCCTGGGGTCTCTTTTTTGTGACGTTCTTGAACACCACAGCCCGGTGAAGTCTGGGGCAGGACGGTGGGGGAAAGGGAGCTGGACATGGAGCCCAGGCGAGGTTTTCAGTGGCGACCTTTACCCCTCCAGGAGAACACGGTTCCTGTGACCAGCAGGGCCCTGCGGCTGGGGAAGAGATTTAAACAGGAGGAGCCATCGGCAGCCGGAACTCCACTGACTTAGTAGAAAATGACTGGCTGCTCTCTGGTTTACATTCAGAACAATCTGATCACGTGGCATATTTTTCATAGTTACATTTTTTTTTCCTTTTGCATTTTAATAGATTTTAATAATGTTGAATATATATAAATATATAAATATATATAATATAAAAACGTGTATAAAACCGGAACACCAGTGGCTGCTGGGTAGTTAAAGTTGAATATTTATGTCCGTCGTAAGTCATGAGAATTTGGAGACAGAGGCTGTATGGATTTGGGTGACGTTTGTGTTTTTCTAGAAAACCACTTTTTTGTGTTCATCGGTTGTGCTGCTTTTTAATATGGGAAGATATCACCACGAAAGGGACCAACTTAGCTGGCTGTCTGCCTTGGTTTTACAGCAAGGAGGATCCCAGCTCAGTGACAAATGTTGTTTGGAAACAACAGCTTATGCCATTTAACCACCTTATGAATTATGTAAAATAATGTAATGCAGGTAGATAAAAAAACAACAGGAAAAAGGATCTGCCAGAAATGTTTTTCTTTTTCTAAAAACGTGACCCAAGATTCCTTTCTTTCTCCGAGACATCAGTGTTAAATGAAAAGTGACAGAGCAAGGACTTGAATTTTTCTTCTTTTGTTTTTATTGCTATTGCTGTTGTTGTTGTTCTTATTTTCGTTGTTGTAGCTCAGTTTCAGTTCTAAGGAAAGCCCTTGTCTATGGGAGGGGTTTGATGGTTTTCCCGGGCGATAGTCAAACAGCAGGGTATAAAGCCAGTCCAGTCCCAGGTTACCGTCAACACTGCGTTTCCGTATGTTGTTTCGTCTGTTCGTTCTTTTTAATTTTCGGAAAAGCAGCATTCAGATATGGTTAAAAGATGAGAAACTGACTTTAATTCCCGAAATCTAGCGCTGCCAACCGGAAATGCAGAAGAAGGAGCAGGAAGAGCTCGAGTCTTGCGGGATTAAAGGAATGCCGAGTGCTGTGTCTTGTGAAGGGACATCAGGTTGTGTCATTTTGAGATGGTCAGTACACTTTGCAAAGGCAAAGCACAGGGGACCACACTAGTGGCATGTGAGAATTTTCATTTAATGTACTTTCTGTTAACGTTGTAAGAGGGGGGAAAAGTATTTAAGCTATTTTAGGATATAGTAGAAAGCTATCACTTGATTATTGACTTTTAATGGTGGGAGTATGTGTGCTCCCATGTTGCGTTGTCTGTGAATGATTAGATACAGATTTTGTAAAAACGTTCATGCAGTGACCTGCTATCAACTGCTCTTCAGCTCGCAGCTCTGAGGACAATATCAACTGAAACCCCAGGCAGGTTGCACATGCCAGTTGCTTTAATGTAGAAACAGTTCTGTACACTTTTCACCCTTTTCGGGTCCTCGTCTTTGAGACAACTGAGCCATACAAAGAGGTTTAAGCTTTCTTACTAAGTGGCAACAAGTGTGAGTTAGATGCTGGGTTAAATCCAGTTACAGGCTCTCCACAGCTAGAACAGCCATACAGCTGGTTAATTGCCAACAGAAAAGCAAAGATGTTTAATTCTTGATTTCAATAATGTGGCTTCTTTGCTTTTTCTGAAATTAGTCTTCCTTAATTGTGGCTGGATTAGCTATGGTATCACTTTAACTGTAATTTAAGTGTCTGTATATCCTGCAGTATATGGCAATCATCTTTCACTATCAAATTTAACTCAGTAAATTAAAAGACCATTTTTGGCACCAGTCAGAGTGCAGGTTTCTCTTCTGTTTTCTTCACCAAGTATTACAGTTTTTAGATCTGTTTTAAAGCTGATAAAAGGCAGAGAGGTCTAATATATATACACTATACTTTAACCTGTGCAATATTAAAAGTGAAGCATCTGCCACTTAAAAAGAAGCCACTCTGAAGTTTGTAGGCCACTAGTATAGTACAAAACAGCTTGTATATGTGTTACCAGTCATGGGTACGCATGTCATTAAATACAGTATTTCATGGCAGTCTATCGAAAACCTACTCCAGCAGAACCCTTTGGGACATTTGGATATTGGGATGCAATGCCACACCCAGTCTGCTTTCTGAAATGTTTTTTAGTATAACTGACATGAGAGAAGTATGCGACAAGTAAGGTTGAAATCTGGGCTTTAAAAAGTAATGTTTTTGGCTTGTACTTGGGATAGCAGTTATGATTTTTTGGAAAGATTTCAATATTCCTTATTTGAGGTATGCTACCTAACCTAAAAGAACATGGTAGGTGTGCTCCTTCTTGCTGCCTAGTTGTGGAGTTACTGTTCTTCTGGGAAGATTAATCAGCTTACAGAATTGATGAACGACAAAAGCCTCTTGAAAGAAAATGGTTTCAGTCTTAAAATGAAGGCGGCTTCTTTTTTATATGCTTTTCTTCCCTTCAAACGGCTTGTTTTACGTTTGAGGTGATGCCGTGTGAGATTTGTCGGAGCAGACCCAGCGTACTGTCTTGGGTGCTGCAACAACATGCTGTCGCTGCCATGACCCACTCGCAGACTGATGCACAAGCGAACCGTCTCTCGGTGCAGGAGCTTTTAAAACTGGCTAAACAGTGCAAAATCACATTTCTGTTTTTAAATCATTTTAAATAATGACCATAATATTTTTAAATCTTTTTTTACATGAATCTGGCAAAAATCCATTAGGTTTACATTGCCTGAACCCTGATGAAAAATGGTAGTAAATCCAAAATGCTACTTGTGCTGGTCTGCAAAGATCCCAGGCTGTGATAGAAAGGCAGTTGTGTTAGCTCTTCCTTTATTGGAAAATACCTTCTCCATGCTGTGCCAGAGAGCTGCTGAGGATGCTCTTCTGCTGATCCCATGTTAGTTAAGGTCCCACTTAACTAACATGGGACCTTGTCTGGCTGAACCACTGAAGAGGATATACATCGGGGGAGAGGAGCGGGGCAGACCTCGGTATTTCTATCCCATTGCAGGCTTCTGCTATAGCTAATCTTAAATTATTATAGAAGTCTCCAGCTCCAGCAGTCAGGCATCCGTTCAGTAATAAATTTAGAAGCTTCAAAGTCTACTAATGACATCGAATGGAGGTACCCCTGCTACAGATGTATGATACTTTGCTACACTAGGGCTGAGATCCATTCAGCTATGTTCCACATACTGTAGCACTAATGTAAACTCCTGCCACTACAGTACTGTTCTCAATGTCTGGTTTATTCTAAGTCAAGTCAAAATGTACTCTTTATTGCCAACTATTACAGGGTCTAGTATTTGAAGGCGGTGCTCACAACAGTGTTTTCGTTTGTTACTAGCACGCAGATACAGATGGCGTTGAGGCAGCAGATATATGGTGTCAACAGCACTCCCTGCTGGTGCGGGGGGGGGGGTCCGAACTGATCGAAAATAAAAAACATCCTCCTTGCCAGAATATAGCTGGCATCAGTTCCCAAAGGGTTGTCGTTGTCCGTGGCATCCTGCATAAAGTGAATGTACTAATCACTGGAAAAGGCATGCTCTGCTTTTTTACATAGTAATTTATGATTATGCTTAGGAGTGTAAATTTGAACAATTACCTGTTGTAAAAGGATATATTATCCTGTGTACTACGCTATATATAAAGTAATCATGTTCTTCAATGTTTTAACTGGCCACACCGCCTGTACGATTGTGCAAAATGACGCAATCCAACTTGAGCTTTGTATTTCAATGTGAGCTGTTCTGGACACACAGTCGTATGTATAAAGTGCAATTTGTGTAATATTTCTTAAAAAAGAAAAAGTATATATGTCTATGGCTGTACAAACAAGTTTATGAACAAATAATCATCAGCTTATTAAAGAGCAAACCTGGAACAAAACAGCATGGAACTGTCATTCAATGAACCATTGGGAAAAGGGATGTGCTTATTCAGTTATTTATTTATATACTTCCACTGGGCTCTATCCTATAGGGAATGGGTTTTTCATACCAGTACTATATTTGTTACATTACTTTGGCTTTGACTATGCTGGTGGAGGTTTTTTTGCTCATAGAATGGGAGGAAACAAAATTAAATCAGTACAAAGCTCATTTAACAACAATCACATTTAATAATATTTAGACAAAGGTAATCAATATCAGGACATTTCTTTTACAAAGAAAATTATAAACACGTATATATATAATGTAAATGGTTATCAAAATGTTCTTTGATCACTTTGCTGAGGAGTTAAAAAATTGCTTTGCGCAAGAATGCCTTTGGAAGTGAACCTATAAAGCAGTTTTGAGGATGAAATTTGATGTTCTTCAATATAAAATGATAAAGTTTCACTTTTTATCTGTTAAGGAAGCAGAGAGCTGGATTTAAACACCACATTAAGTCTGACCTAGTAAGTTAAGTTGGAAGCCCCTTTAAGCACCTACAGCCATACAGTATAAAAGATTAGATGTTGTACTGGGAAAACCTAGACTCTGATTTGATCATATAAAGTTTGGATCCTCTCATATAAGATCTTTTTTCCAGTGCCTCTGCACTGTGCCTTGATATACTGCTTGTGTCTATGCTGTAGGGTCAAGTAACACAATGTGTACCGATATTCCCATGTTTTGTTGATGTAAAAAAAAAATAGCAGAAAATTGAACAGGCATGATCCGAGTTTTGCCTGGACTAGGCATCACAACAAATATACAAATCAGAAATGTATGTATGTGTCTGAAATTATAAGAAATTAATAATTTTAACAGAACACAATACAAAGTTATACAGGAAAAAAAAGAAGAAACAAATAACTAATCACAGAAAGGAAAAGTGATGTTTAAAATTACACATGCTCGCCAGTAAAGCTGGTCTTGGCTCATGGCTTTAATGGTAGCAAGTTGAGTTTTGAAGAGACATTCCGGGTCTTTGCAAATGTTCAAATACCGGCAAGACCTGCATTGTCCAAGATCATCTTTCAGAACTCTTCCAGATTACCTGGGTCCGGTTTTGCCTCGCACAGGCATCTCTGGGTCTTTTCTCTTAGGCTGCTTCACTGGATACAAGTCCAGTCTGATTGGCTCATCACAGCCACGGTTCTAAGCAGACAACCTTTGAATGTCTTTTTCTTTTCTTTTCACAGTGCATCTCAGCTGCAAATTACTAAACAAAGTGTCTTTCTAAGCCTTGTAGTGCATTTGCCTGCCTCGGGGGTGGGGAGCGGGGGGTACCCCATAGGGCCGTCTTTTTCCTGGGGTGTCTCTAGTTCTTGAACATGTCACAGAGCAGCTTCTCCATAGGCGTGTTTCCAATGGTCCTGTGGAAGAACAGCAGCTCTATCCTCTCAGAAGCCACAAACCGCAGGGAGGGCAGCAGCAGCAGCAGTTTCCCAAACCTGCAAAGAAAATGAGAACCGGGGTTTGATCTTACTGGAATCGAGGAAAGAACCATTATACAGTAAGTGGTCAAGGCACAGTTAAAATCTGGGGTTTCTCTTTCGAGAAAGGCTGTGATATGAAATCCATCAGTTGTATTGCATTGGGTAGAAAACAGATTCCCAGAGTTTGTATTAAAAGGAAACATCTCTTGTGCCATTGCAGAAATGAGTGCAATATTCATCCCAAGAGCTGGCCACATTTAAGTGTGACTGTTCAACTATAGCAGATCAGTTTGTGATCCTGACTGAGATCGAGCAGAGGTTGTGACGTCTAAGTAACAGCTCTGAAGAGGATAAGGTTTAAGCAGTGTTGGTAAGAACGGCAGTCTCTTGCTTACCTGACAGGCTGGCTGGGGTAGTGGGTCCGGATGTGCTGGCCTAACATCACCTGTGACTGATCCTGAAGGTTTTCCACCTGCTCTGGGTCTTTCAAGCCTCGGGTCTCTGCAAGACCAGCAAACACATGGGGATTCCCACTGGATGTTTGATTTTCCCACAATACTAATTAATGAAAAGACTTGTAGCAAAAAATGCATCACACGATGATCAGCTCCACCGGAGGTGCTGTTCAGTTGTAGTATATGTGATATTCTAATATAACGACAAGCTATTTAAAAAAAAATGACCCACATCTGTGGATTAGAGAAATGTTAAAAAATTAGATCTCAATTTCCACACTTGTGAAGGGTGACCAAAACTTTGGGGTTTTTGGGTTTCCTTTATTGGAAAAAAAAATCAACGTTTTCCCACTGAAATATTTGCTTTCTACCTAATCAGTATTTGAATTCAATATATGCACGGAATTTGAGTCAAAACCTCCAAATATGATCCTAAATATTAAAGTCATGAATAAAATATACTGCACAGAGATTTCTAGGATGTTCAGACTGCTTATCTTAGAAAGCTCTAAAATTTTCCAGCCCTTTTCGAACCTCTTTCTCCAGTAAAGGGTCGCGGAGGAGCTGGAGCCTATCCCAGCACGCACTGGATACACCCTGAATGGGCCACCAGTCCATCACGGGGCACAAACGCACACACTTACACCAGGGCCAGTTCTCCCAGAAGCCAGTTTACCAACCTGTATGTTTTTGAACCCCAAGAGGAAACTGGAGCACCTGGAGGAAACCCACGTGAACATGGGGGTGAAAATACAAACTCCAAGCACCCCAGGTCCCGAATCGAACCCAGGACCGAGGCGCGGCAAGAACGCAATTCGAAACCACTGCATGACCCCGTCTCCCCTAACGTGATCCGATTTTTTCCCAATTCCTCAGTGTGCGCACCCAGCCCTGTTATCTCTTCACGTGTCTGAGCAGACCAGTAGAATTCCTGCTGCCCTGAAGGAAGGACGGCCCACCTGGTTTGAAGAGCACGATGGCCTTCAGACAGGCGAACTCAGTGGGGTCCACAGGAAGGGCCCTGAAGCGGCCGAAGATCTCCTGCAGCACGCGCAGGTCGGCTCCTGAAAAGCTCGTCTTGCCCTGCAGGCTGGGGGAGAGCTCGGGCACTGAGAGCAGGGGGCAGCTGTCCAGGGGCAGGGACCACTGGATGGCACACAGCAGGAACAGCTCGCTCCAGGCCTCCTCCAGCAGAATCACCTGGGACAGCAGGAGCAGCAGGTCAATCACTCCACAAACGTGGACGCCCACCCCCAGACCTGATGTTCTCGACCCCGCTGGGATAATCTTTTTGCCCTGGTCTTTGTTTCAGCTAGAGCATCATGGTTAAAGCTTTAAAGTTTAAAGAATCATGTTTAAAGGGTAGCATTGTTGCCTTTTGTAATGAAAATAATTGAGTTTATTTTTCCCCGGAAGCACCTTTTGTGGTCTGCAGCAGTTTGTAATGTCATGTGTGAATGCAAGAGCCAAGGGCTGATAGCCAGAAGGACATGGCTCAGAAACGACTCCCTGCTGCTGACTTAGTCCTGTCCAACATCACTGAACAGGCAATCCGAGGCACTGGAAGGGCAGTGGTTCTTGCATTAATGGTGTGGTTAACATGTAGGTGCCAAAAACGCATACCGTAGATATTGTCTGGAGGAGATGGTTTTCTCTGCAGTGTAGTCATTAGATATTGTCAAATCTTCTGCTTTGATAAAATGTCTGCAAACCTCAAGTCTGTTTAGGTGAGATTAATGTAGCAATTAATCATTTTATAAGTCTCCATACATTGGCTTCATAACAGAGATTCTCCAAATTGAGAAGTGTTTTAATTTTCATATGTGGAGAAATTGCATTCATATTTGTTCTATAAAGATTTTCAAGTAAGATCTCAAGGCTTACCAAAAGATTAAGGTTTATTGGTTAATTGTGGGTAATTATAGTTGAAATTATAAACATATTTAGCTCAACAGGATTAAAAACAAATATCAATTCATTTCCTAAACCTCTTTATCCAGTACAGGGTTGTGGGAGTCTAATTGAAAAAGCAATGGGTGCAAGACTGGGGAAAAAACGAAAATGATCACTTTTTTCTACTCAATATAACGTGCATCTATTTTTAATTATTGTGCAGGTACTTCTCCAATTATAATTTTTCTCTTCACAATCCAGTGTGTCCATTCTCTTCCTTGAATAATAAAACCATCTCAAATATTTCCATTGCTTATCTAGTGAAAAGCTCCAGGATAGTGGTGTTTTGTTGTGTGAAGTTTGCAAGTGGATGGGACGTACTCGAACAACCCCAGTATATCTTGTGATCTGACGTGGCCCCTGTCTCTAAAGGCTTAGGGCTGTCTTGTTACTCACCTGATCCCTGAAAGGCAGGTTAGAGAAAACCGGGAGGTTCTTAGCCCATTTGACTGCCATGAAGAGCAAGCGGGCAGAGGTCTCGTACACGTTCTCGGGGCTGCTGGGTGGGTACAGGGACATCTGGTACTCTGAAGAAGCCCTCTCAGGTTCATTGCTTGTTACATCAATATTCTCATCCACTAGAGAAGAAAGCAAAGGACCATGAGTTGACCGCATACATTATACAGTATCTCTTCATCATATGCTTTCGTGCAAGTTGTAATCTGATGTTCCAAATTCTTTTCTTAAAGCTTTTCCACAATTTTATTTTTCATCTGGAGTTATGCTTCTGTCGATGCCTTCCTTTGGTGCTTTTCAGCTTTGTAGATGTACTGTGCCTTCCACATATAGAAGCACAATATTTATGTTTTTAGAAATGTATTCATAAAGTGCAGTGACCTCTTCTTTTTCTGTCACAAATGTATTCACTCCTTTAGTTTAATCCTATTGGAAATACCAAGCTTGTGACCATGGAATTAAACATAAAAGTTCTGGAAGCGTTAAAGCCTGAGGAATGCAAGGTGAAGCTCAGATGGTGGTGAACAGCAGGTGGAAGATGTAAAATCGAGAAGGGGGCAGACTCACCGTCCTCGGGCTCCAGCTTGGCGCAGGTCTCCGCGGTCATGAGGCTGGCCATGAAGCGATGGTTGTTCTGGGGGCTGACGGAGCGCTGGGACGGGGCGGAGGAGGTGATGAGGGGCCGGGTGATGACTGAGCAGGAGGAGGAGGTGGGCTCCCGCGTGGTGGTCAGGTGGTCTTTCTCCGTGTCCACGTCGATGGTGTCCAGGCGGACCTGGGCAGTGCTGCGAGGCTGTCGCTCATTCTGCACCGCTGTGGGGTCAGGGACAAGAGGAAAGAGTCAGAAGACAAGAGGCAAGAGACAGGCAAACACTGAGTCTGGAGACAAGAGATAGAGACAGACGCAGAGTCAAAAGACAGGCGAACTCTGAGTCTAGAGACGAGATAGAGACAGATGCAGAGTCAAGAGAAAGACTCAGAGATAGATGCAGAGTCAACAGACAGGCAAACTCAGAGTGATGTCAAGAGATAGAGACAGACAGAGTCAAAAGACAAGAAATAGACTCAAGAGACAGGCAAACTCAAGAGTCAAGAGACAGACACAGAGTCAAGACACAGGCAAACTCAAAGTCAAGTGTCAAGAGACGGAGACAGATGCAGATTGAAGAGACAGGCAGAGTCCTCAGTCAACTCAGAGTCCAGTCAAGAGATAAAGACAGACTCGGAGACAGACGCTAACCCAAGAGGCAGGCAAACTCAGATTAAAGAGTCAAGATTCAGATCAAAGTTGTTTTAAGATTCAAAGGTTTTGTAATCTTTTTGACAAATCAAATTGTGATGACCAGATTCAGACCTTTCTCTTTTCATTCAATGTTGTTCAATGTTGTTCAGTTCACCAGAAAGAATTACCCTTTTGCTTTTTAGTACTGCTAAAGACATTGAACAGGGGAGAACTGTGGGTATATTATTTAGGATATTCAATTAAAAAGTTATGTACTGTGTTACTTTTTTTAAGCAAAGTTCTCTGATTTTCATGACTCTTTATAAGTGGACATTCTTATTCCCAAAGGCCTACAGATCAGTCTGGTCTTGGAGTTCCCCTGTGCCCATGGAATCGTTTTTATTAGTCTGCCGTTAAATATATTACATATCAAATACCTTGTAATAATACAACTATTTTCTTTAAAATAAATACTTCAAATAAAGTTTAATTATGGAATATGACTGCATCTCAAGGTGTTAAAAGCTTGATTTAATATGGCATTATTGAATAATTACAGTTTGACATTTAAACTTCTGATAGACAATGTTGCTTCTTTGATTCAAAATAATTCCGCACAGCAGTCTGTTGCAAAGAATATTTGTTATTTATTTTGCCTTTTCAAGTACCTTTTTCCAGGAAGGAACTTTCTTGCTTCTTTTTGTTTGCATTTCGTCTGTCCTCTTACCCCTAACCCCTGCTTTCTGAGGCGCAAGGCCAGTGCTGGTATCTCAGGGTCAGGAGCAGTGCTGAAGGGCTGTTCACCCCTGCACTTTCACTCACCATCCTTGTTCATGCCAGCTTGCAAGCACTTCTTCAGTCGACACGCTTGGCACTGGTTGCGATGGGCTTTGTCCACGGGGCACATGCCCGTCCCTGCCTGGCACCTTCAGGGTGAGAGAGAGAGAGAGAGAGAGAATCACAACGGGTTCCAATCCTACTGGGAGAGTATGCCCAGTATGTGATCTCCTGTCACAGCCTGAGGAACAGCGAGTCCGTCTCCCAATCATGCTCCATACTGTATGTTTACAGTATATGTCGATATTTTAGGATAAGTCTCTAATATCTCTGTAGAGTTTTTTTTATTATTCTTTGTTTTGTTTCCTGTTCATTTTATTTTTATTTGCTTTGGCAGCACTGCTTGTACCCGCCGGTCATGCTGATGAAAGCACCTCGAATGGAATTGAGAGGAAGGCCTTTCAGCGTGCGGCTCTCGGAAACGGGGCTCCCCAGAGGAATGACCGGCCCTCACCTGTAGATGAGTTTCCTCCGGACGCTCCGCTTGAAGAAGCCGCTGCACCCGTTGCAGGCGTAGATCCCGTAGTGCTTGCCGCTGCTGGTGTCCCCGCAGACTTTACACAGCAGGGCGGGGCTCAGGGCCTTCCCGGGGGCTGGGCTTTTAACTAGGAGCGGCGAGAAACGGAAAGAGGCCCCGCTGTGACTGGTCTGGACTCCCGGTGAGAAACTGCGCCCCATTTCTAGTGCGTCACCTGTTCGCTCTCTTACCTCCTGCACATGTGTGCTGACACCTGCCTCAAGCGATTACTTCCCAAAAAAAGGGCGTGGGATTTGTGAACAGCTGTTATCAAATCAGTTTACTCTAAATATAACTGTAAACGCCTGTGTTCTCGGTAGTATTTGGTTTTGTTTAGAAGCCGAAGGTGCATCAGGTGCAGAACGCCTCGAATCTCCCAAAGCGCACCTTATTTCCCAATGGAAGGCTGCAGTATAACTCTTAAATGGCCTGGATTACGTTATAATTGAAACGCACAACAACAGTGGCTAATGTACGATAAATGACTCAAATCATATTATCAGTAAAACAGTTCTAAATTGTTTCTTATAATTTAATGGAAAATGCTCACTTTTCCATCCCCTCATGCTAATGTGTTTTTCCAGTTCTGAGATTGTATGTGAGATTGTATCACTAGACACAATCTAAAAAAAAAACTTGTTTTTCTGCTCTTCATTTTAAAGCCTTTGTTTTAATGTGGCAAAACAGTTTTGTTTCTTTATTCTCATCACATGCCAGATGTGCCCAAAGTGTGCAGTACTTCGCTAAAAAAATATTTGTAATCCTGCTGCACAGCCACTGAAAGGATTTTTTAAAACACGTTTTACAATATTTTCAACAGCTAAACTGTACTGAACCAATAAATAGGCAAGCAGATGATAATTCCGCACTAAAAAGTTCAAATGAAAGATGGAGAAAAACAAGTTTTCAGCTATTGTTCCTTCTTTCAATGTGTAAAGGTAAAATGTTGTGTCTTCTTTCTGTTAACTTTTAAGTGTGGAGTGAACTTCTACTTTCAGCTCATACACTGAGGCAAATTCCCACCCTTACCTCCTGTATACATAATCTATCCACTTCAAATTCCTTCACTGAAATATTTAGGTCTGTGTTTTGACAGGTGTTTAGCAAATTAATAATATTCTTTTTGCAGAGCATTCCAGAGATTTAAAGTTCAGTACATGCAGATAGTAAAACAATACTTGTTGTTTGTCAGATTAGACACAGTTTTTAGCCCCTTTTCAATCCTTATGTCACAATATGAATAAGAAACTGGCCTGACATCTTGTTTCTTACCTCCTCGGCTCTCGTCCAAGCCAGTGCTGACTGGAGAGTCGCTGGGAGGAGACGGTGTCATCGAGATCTTGGAAAGGTGGTCCTCCATTGTCAGAGGGAATAGTGAGGTCCTGGAGGGAGAAGCAATGCAGGTACCCCTCCACAGACAGCCCCCTTAGGGCCCTTCCGGTTATTCGAGACACACGGTCGTGGCTCAGAGAAGTACAGTCTCAGTTTTGCAGAAATTTCCAAGCACGGCACAAAACGGAGATTTTTTTAATGCATATATCCGTGCGTGTTCGCCCTGCTGTCCCTCCTTGGTGTGAGGGAGAGAGAGGTAAAAGAGGAGAGTTTCCTTCAAGAGTGTTCCAGGAGTGTTGGTGGTCTTTTCCAGGGAAAAGGAACCTCAGGAGTTTGATGGTGGTGAGATTTTACTCTCTGAGGATACTGCAAAACTTCACATTTCAGTGAAACTTCTCTCCCGGGCTGTGCGGTGCTGATGACAGAGGTGTTCTGCTTCGCAGTGCACTCTTGCCAGCAGGTATCTCATTGACAGCCTGTCCGCTGTTTGTTTGGTTTTGCCGGCTCCTGTTTTGGATTCACAAAGACGAGCCCAGGAATGCTGCTTCGGTGAGTGTCCCCTTCCCAGGTCCTGGAACAGGAGCTCTTTTCTTGGTGCTGAGCGGTGGTGTTCAGTGGTGAACCCTGAAGGGGTTGCAAGTCAACCTTCTCTTTTCCTCCCAGCTCGCTCGGCTGGAGTGTCTCTGTGTGAGTCTTTCTCTTCTCCCGGCTCCTAAAGGGAGGCAGGAGGATTAGCTCCAAGCGCTGTGTAAGCACATGCTTATTTGTCATCCTCTTAATCTTTACTGTCCATCTAGAGGTGGATCAATCAGTCACACTGCGAAGAATTAAAAAGGGGGTGAATCTTCACCAAGTGCAAAAAAATACCCAGCCCAACAAAAGCCCAGGTTGGAGGCCGGAGCTCTGTAACTTAAAACCTGTCTCTTTCCCTCCCTCTCCGTTTCTCGGTGTCTGAAAGCAGCACATCAGTCAGCAGCCCTCAGCCTTGTCTGCATTTTAAAGGATGATTATATGGAGTGCAGATTATTGTGTTTGCCAGCCTTCAATTTGTATTGCTCCCTTATTCTTTTCCTCCCAACTCCAGCTCAATTTCCCCTTGTAAATTTGATCTGTGTGATTGCCCCCAATTCATAATGACTCCCACTGTTTGCCAAGGTGCCCAGCTGCCTATTAACTTCAATTTGCCTCTCTTTTTTTGAAGGCTGATCATTCTTTTCAATGGCAAAAGGGGGAAAGGGTGGGCTAGAGAATAATAGAATTTTTAATGGCAGTATTTTTTGTCTGGGATTAATTTGATTCACTTCTCTGTGCCCAGGGAGAGCAGGACCCATGCATTATTGAGTGTCCAACGTGTCAATGGGGACCCTTATAGGATAATTACAGGTCTTTATAAACGAGGACAGCACTTTTACCAGTGATCTTTTGACAGCCTAGCAGCACTACAGAAAACCACATTCTGGATTTACTGAGCTGAGAGCGGTATTTATTTACATAGAAAAGCAAGAAGAAGAAAATACACTTTATTTGTAAATTGGCTAAATCAACTCTTAAGTAGTTCATTGACCCCTAGATTCAAGACTGAAACAACTAGTTTTTCTTTGTGCTGAGAGAAAAATGAAATAGTGGACAATTCTTAACAACAGCTCAGCCTCCCACCCAACCCTGACAAACATGTGCACAAGTGCTCGTGAATTTCTTACCGTTTCATCATTTATAATCCCCCTGCACAAGTGGGACAGGACAGTGTGCACTCCTAAATTACTGTGCAACCAGTGCTGGTCAGGAGACACTATACCTTGAGTTTCCTTAAACATTTAACAATAACTTGGCTTTAACAGCAAAAATGACAATCAAGTGAAATATGCCATTTGTATTATTTGGTTTAAATGTTTATGAATAGCATAGTATATCTACAATTATAGACTGTAAGATGAAAACTTTCAGGGTGTGTGAGTACATTTGTCAGTGGTTGGAGATTGCAGTTTTTGTTTTTTCTTCTGTTGTTTTTTGTTGTAGATTTCTTTTTAGCTTTGTTTTTCATCTAGAAGCTATGATATTCTGAATGTTTTAATGACACTAAGAGTTTGTTTTCTACAAAGGAGTCTGTACAGGATGGGCAAAGTAAAAAGAAAAACAAAACAGTTCCACATCGAAGTCATTTCTTTCTTTGTCAGAAAATATCAAACACATTTATGTAACATTACATCATATTTGGCTGAGATACCATTTTGACACTTTATTCATGTGGCGACTCGATGTTTAGAGTGAGTTGAATAAGTATCTACAGTACATGGGTGGAGTCAAATTTGAATTATTTCTGTTTTATAATATTTAACCCACATTTTCTGATGAGAATCATCTTTACACTTGCATTTAAACAGCAGCAGTCTAGTGTAAACCTGAATTAAATATGCTTTACTGTTAACAGGTAGGGAGCAGGTTTGGAATCATCTCTTTAAAAACAATTTTTAAGATAATAGACCGTGCCAACATTCACGAAAGGTGCTTAGGCACTTGAGTGAAGCCGATAAGAGTACATTCCGCAGAAAACCGTGCTCCATTAAGAAGAGAGATTAGCCCTGGGGAAACTTGATTTATAATATAACACTCTGAAATCCTACACCTTTGTGCTTTTGAAATATTTGAGTTTATTGCCTTGGCCTTTTGTGTATTTCAGCTGCAGGTCTAGCAGTTCCAGGCTGTGCTGGGGACGATCAGGTCCACTCAGTTTCTGCCCAAGCTGCTGCTGCAAGATTCCTTTAAACAATAAGCAGAGATCAACAGGTTCTGTGTGTTACACATAAATGCTAATGAACTAAAATGAATACACAGCAGGAGGCTTAAAACTGTTCTAAAACTTATTCTGCTGTGTTCAGGAAAAAAAACAATTAGCAGTAATACTGAAAGAGCAGTACAGACTCAAATCCTTGTAGCTATTCTTTTGCCATATGGTGCCTGCTCTCCCCATCTCTGTCTGCCTAATTAGCGAACCCTCCATGATTTACAAGTAATTAGTGTACTGAAGTCACTGATTTGTTTTTTTTTTTCTTTGATTTGTGGATTTAGCTTATTAAGGACTTACACAGTGTCGGGGTCACAGAAAAAGCCAGACAGCGACACATGCCTGCTTCAGCCCTGTCCTCATCAGCGTGGCCGGTCTCCTAGCCCCGAGGATGATGTAATGTCATCAGTTCCACGCGGGCTGTTGCTACCGTGGCCAGATCTCTGACACTGGTGCCACCAATCAGATTAGTCTCTTTACGCTCCTTTTGTTGGAAATCCAGCACTGTAAACAGGTAAGACATTGTCAGTGTGAGCAGTGTTGGTCCAGGGGGAAAAATCCTTAACGTTCAGGAAGTACTTGTGCTGTTTGTTATACTACAGTATGTTCCTGTACTAAGCTGAAACATTTCACCACTAAATGTTTTCTGATTTTTTTTCACCTATTCTTTTACCAGGAGAAAAAATGTTTCTCTCTATATTGCATTAACTCTCAGAACTCCACCCCCTTCCCTGTTTATTAGATTTGCGTCTGCTAGATTCTTGTAAATTATCTGAGACAGATCATGTTAGATCACACAATGTGGGGGTAACTCAGCCAGGATCCAAGGCACAGATACAGTATTGCTTACTGGATGTCTGCAGTTGCATCAATCCATTAATCTCGTTTGCTTTGGCAGAATTATTTACGTATTTATATGCACTCTTTGGTGGTGAATGTTTATTTTATTTTACTATATTCAACAATATAAAATCTTTTAATTTTTTATTTTTTGTACTTATTCATTGATGGGTTGAACAAGGCTTGATGAGAGCTGGATTTCTTATTGTTGGCAAGAATTGGTGGACAGCTTACCCTCTGTAACTACCTACCTCATATAACACAAAATCAAAATTTCTATTTGGATGATTTCATTAACGAAATGATCCAACAGTAAATATCCTTGTAGGAATTTGTTTATGAACCCTTAGATTCAGTAGGCTTTGGCACCTCCTTGAGCAGCAGTGACCTCAACAACTTCAAGAAATTGTGTCTCACTCTCCTTACAGAACTGACAAGTTGGTGACATTTGAGAGTCTCCTTGAATAAACAACTTGCTTCAGTTCCTGCCATAGCATTTCAATGGAATTTAGGTCCAGACTTTGACTTGGCCATTCCAAAATGTAAATTTCCTCCTCCTGAACCAGTCCGGTGCAAAACCGCCTGGTTGGTTAAGAACAATGGCCTGCCGCAAAAACCCACGCCAACCCAACCTCAACCAAACAGTGGATGCCTTGACTTTTTCCTCCACTAAACAGCAATTTTATGGTTCTGTCTATGAGATTCAGGACATCCTGGTCCTGAGGCACAGTAGCAGAGTAGTGTGAAAGCATTACACTCCCACCACTGGGCTTGAAAGATAGTGTATGATTTATTCCACACAGAACATTTCTCACAGTGGCCAAAAACATCAACTTTGACTCATCTGTCCAGAGAGCATTCTTCCAGTAGTTTGGTAGATGTTCAAGGTGCTCTCCGATAAACGTGAGACAGGTAACATTTGTTTAGATTTAGATAGAAATGTTTTTTTCCTGGCTATCCTCCCAGGAAAAGCATTCCTTTATAGTCTTTCCTTATGATTGAACATGACTGATAGTAGTTACAGTGAGAGAACTCTGCTGGTCCTTAGATTTTACCCTGAGGTTCTCTGTGACTTTCTGGATGATTTTCTGCCTTGCTCTTGGGGAGATCTTGGCAGGATGTCTGGTCCTGGGCTAAAGCTACTACATTAAAATTCTTATATGCATGCATATGTGACTCATCTTACCGGGGCTTTTGGATTTTGCTTAATTTAGATGGTTAGAGTTATTCAAAGAGTAATAAAACTCTTCCACGATGTGAAATATTTAAATCCTGGATGTTAACGAATTACATTATTGAAGTGTTAGATCAACCCACATACTGTACCATGGCCATGTGCTCATAGTAGGATGTCTCTATAGGGACCCAAAGATCTCCATTTCCATAATGTATTATGAGCAAACTGGGGATGTAGAAATTCTTCTTGGTTTACATTCCTAAAGCCATTTGTATTCCACCAGCCTGACTGGTAACTGATGGCTCTCCTGTCTGTTGCAGCACTCTTATATTTTAGATTTACTGTATTTAAATATTTACAGGTGCAGCCCAGTGGTGCAGTGGCTAGCATTGCTACCTTGCAGTGCTGGGGTCCTGGGGTCAGATGTGGACCTGGGTGCCACGTGGAGTTTGTGTTTTTTCCCCGTGTTCTTGCCAGGATTTCCTCTGGCTGCCAGTTTCCTCCCACAGTCCAAATCCATACTGGTGGGTTAATTGGCTTCTGGGAGAATTGGCCCTGGTGTGAGTGTGTGTGCCCAGTGAGGGAGTGGCGTCCCGTCCAGTGTGTATCCTTGCTCCCATTGCTCCTAAGGCTCCCCCCCATCCCCAATTAGAAGAAGTGGTTATTAATAATTAATCTCTTACACTTATTTAGCACTCATCTGGACACTTCACTCAAAATGCTTTACAGGTATGTTATGAATTAGCCCCTCCAATGTGCAGCTTCCACCTGGATGATGCAATGGCAGTCACCAGTACATTCACCACACACCAGCTATCAGTGGGGAGAGCAGAGTGATGAGGCTAGTTCACAGACGGGGATTATTAGGAGGCCATGACTGGTAATTTGGCC